TTTCTTAGTTTACTAGGTATGTAAGGTTCTAACCATGTAAACTCGATGATTTGATTAATATGATTGTTTGATTCTCATATGTGTGTTGCTTTATTTATGCCATTTCGTTATATGTTGATTCAAATTATTGCTTAGTCGATCTTGCAATTCTTCGAGAAGCAAGGATTGAAATACTAATCATTTAGGATGGGTCTAGAAATATCAGTCCTAATCGATCAAACCTCATTCGATCAAATGGTGTGACGCCTCAAGGGAGAAATTCAAAGGGTCCTTGTAGCCCATTAGTTTGGATAAATGCTTCGACATAAGTTGGGATCTTACAAAATAAGAAATCGACAACTTGTATGCTCCGATCATCGAGGGTGCATTGTTACGAGACCTAGTAGGAACATTGCCTATGCAATGGTTTCCTTCTCTGCTCTCTCACTTCTCTAGTAACGTAGATGTACTTTTCTGCATTGTTTTACCTTTCAAACTCTTAGGTTCTGTGAAACCAAAGGAACCTCAACCACCTAAATCGACCTGTTTTTCAATAGAACCATACCTCGCTTCTGAAGTAAGGGTTCTGCGAGATGCCCAAGGGAATACGATCCTGCCCTTATGCCAAAAAAATTTGGTAGTCAATAAAATCAATGATCATCATACCCAAGAGAGAGACAACACCACCGCAGGCCCATCTGTCGGACCCTCCGCTAGTTAGTTTGGCAACCAGTTGGTGGCCATGGCGCAACACAATGAGCAAATCTTGCAAGCCAGACTCGTATCCTAGACCGACAATATCATATCTTCACCTCACGATCGCAAGCGGGATGGCCGGTGCTCCATCATGGCAAACTAGGACTACTTGATCACGCTTGTAGTTGGTTCTCCCAGTCAGGTTACCACCCTGTGGCTCGTTCCCCTTCCTCGTACGTGAATCTGGATGACATTGACTTTGATGTTACCACTGGCAAGAGTGGCTTCCCTGAAACCGACTGATCCTGCCACAGATGTGACTTTGTTTTTGTGTTTTGTTTTACTTTTGAGACTTAGACTACTTCTTTTCTTTGTCTTTTCTTTTGAACTTGGACCTATGGTTTGGGTTTACCCTTTATCAATTGTGTGTGTTTCTGTTGTTTTTATCTCCATCGATGTCGGCTGGTCCCTTATCCAGTCCCATGTTCCTGAATGGTCCCTTTTCCAGTCACCACCTACATTCATCGTTCACCGGTAGCATCGTTCCCCTTTTCTCCCTTTGCTCCATTGAGGGAAATGTCGAACTTAAGTGTGTGAGTGTTTATTTCGATGAATGTTTGGCTTGTGTATGTGTTTGGAGCCTAGTCCACTATCCGAAATATAAATTTCATGGCTCTAAGCAAGATATTCTCCATTTGCATGATCATATTAGCACCTGTGGTGTTTTATGTTGAGTCCCTTGGCTATGAGCGTTGATGTGTGAACAACTTGTTTGTGATTGAGAACAGCTTATTATGATGACTGAGATATGTAGTAGAATTGTGTAGGGGTTAAGTTTTCACCATTTTGCAAACCAACTTGTGACTTGGATTGATTACTCACTTCTTATAGTTGTCTATGCATCGAGCTTAAGGAATCAGAATGAGGGACAGAGCATATAGGTAGTCATGCGAGATTTGTGTCTGCTTGTTTCTTCTTGTGTGATAGAACCCTCTTACTATGATATGTAGCATTCATGTTGCCACAAATGAGGAAGATGGAGGCATAGGATTAGTCCACAACCAAATTGACTGTCCCAGTGTGTCAGTGTGTCATACCCCTTAGTCAACCCTCTTGAGCCGTGTGTCTTTCTTTCTTTCTTTCTTTCTTTCTTTCTTTCTTTGTGCCTACACTGATGAAGAGTTACCCTTGTGTCTTGAAGCTCCCGTGACTTAAGCTTACTAGAGGTTCCACAAAGTAATTCTTGCATGGTTTATGCTGAAATGAAAGTGAGTTTTTTGGAAAGTTCTTGAAATTGAGCATGTGTTCTTAAAGTTAAGAAAAAAGTGGCATGAATTGTTGGCTCTCGAAGAAAATGAGGAAAAAAAAGAACTGAAATAAAATAAGCAGAATGAGAGCGGCCACCAATGTTTTTATGCTCAAATGAATGTTGGTAATCCCTTTCATTCTTGTGCTTCAAAGTCTTAGAAGTAGCAGTCGCAGAGAAAGATTTTTATATTTTTTGTGAATGGTTTTAGTTTGAAATTTTGGAACCTTGTGCTCTGTGTTTCCACCACCTAAATATCATGTTCTCGATGCCCTAGACCATAGCCGGTTACAACCCAGTCAAGTCCTCTGGGAACTATAGCATTCAGAGGCTGCCATTATGGTGACGAGATTATAGGTATGAGAGTATGACTGTATGAGTATGCACTTTTTTCGCATAAAATTGTTCCGATCCCACTTGTCGAGAGTGGGTGATTCAATTACCTTATGATAAATCCTGATGAGGACCTAGATAGCTTGGTCACTAATTATGATGTCTTAATCTTTACGCATGGGTGACGGTAACCATTGAGTAGTTAAGGCAAGTCGTTTGTTGGCCTGTGAACGGAGGGAAGACTCTTCTTCTCCATGATTTTGTTGCATTTATATGTCATTTGTAGTGGTTTCCAAGGTTGTTGTTATTGTTTCATGTGTTAGTGCCAAATAGCCAGTGTGATTCACGTTTTGTGTGCCTATATGACATGTCGCCAAGTTTTTTGAGAAAGATGTTTTAAGATTACCTTGTGTCCTACTTGGTTTGATTGGGGACAAGCAATAGTTAAGTGTGAGGGAATTTGATAACACCAGAATTACACATGTTTTAACCCCGTTTCTTAATTGTTTTGGCTTTGATTAATGGGACCTTAGCTTATTTTACGCTAGGTTGTGTTCCTTTGTCATATTTCAGGTCCTAACAAGTGATAGAGGACATAGGAGCGAGTTTCGGGATGCATGGAGGCAAGATGGTGATGAATGGAGCAAGGCAGAGGGGAAACGTCCAAGAACACGATCGTGTTCTAACCTGTGTCAAAAAGATAGAAAACGCGAGTTGTGTTCTGTCATCTTGAGGCCATGTTTTTATGTGCCAAGAAGAAACACGGGCTAAGCAAGGAGAGGAACACGGTCATGTTTTGACATCTTGAGGCCATGATTCATGTGTCGAGAAGAAACTTTAAAAATCCGGAAAACGGCTTTGGCATCCCAAAAATGCAGCCGAGTTCCTACAAACAATTGAGGTCGTGTAATGACTTTCGAGAGCAAACACGACCAAGAGAAAGAGAAACATGGTTGTATCCCTCATAAAGGATGGTCGTGTTCTGTCTGTCAAGACACTTAAGTGAAAGATGCATTGAAAGAACACGGACACGAGTAGAAACGCGATTGTGTTTCGTGCTTGTCTTCCACCCAGCTACGGGTTTTAAAGCCAATTTTGAGATTTTGAGGGGGGATCCGACTTTTGATAGCAAAAACAAAGTTCTAAAGAGAGAAAGCGACAAAGAACCTCACCTTGTAGCTGATTTGAGCCTAGATTTCACCAGTGGAGCTCGAATTTTGCCCCTCGAAGAGCATATCGACACCCCGGAGCATATCATATACATCTTTATTAGTATGACTACTTTGGATACGGTTTTCCTCTCTCTCTAAGGAGTAATCTCCTCTCTCACTTGAGTATGAAAAATCCTAGTCCAAGTGTTAGGAGAATAATTGTATGAACCTTTTGATTGGTCAATTGATTGGTTATATTTGATTTAGGCATTTATTCATAATTGATTGAGTCTTGATCACATTCTTTTGATTCTTGCTTTAACCTAGGAGAGATCAAATCAAGTTGGGTTAAGAGAGCGCCCTCAATTGAAGATAGTGAATCGATTATGCGAATAGTGAATCCATTCACTGCTCTATATAGGAATCCATTCTAGTAGAGGAAGTCGAATTGCATTGTCTTGGCATATTAGTTCGGTTGAAGATAATCTCCCTCCAACTATTTTGTTTAAGAGGGCTTGGTCTACTTTAGTTGAGATTCTAGGCTAATGTCGGACTTTCTGCAGTATAATTATCAATGAACTAAACCAAAAGGGATTTACAACTTTGACCTAACTCCGGACTTGTGGAACACATACATGTGTGATCTTTTGCATCTGAAATGTAATCATTTCTTAGCTTTGTTCCCTTAGTTTCACTAACCTTCACTACAACTATTATGCTAAATAAGCTTAGTTTGGCCCTGCTGTAGCTTTTGCAGAAGCAGCTTCTGGCTGGAACTTTTAGATAAGTACTTTTCAAAAAAAGCAGTTTAGTGTTTGACTGTAAAACTATTAGAAGTGTTTTTTAATATGAGCGGTTGTGTAAAATGACTATAAAGGACTTATAATATAAAATATGAATAAAAATTCTAAACAATAAAAAGTAGTAAAAATGGATCTAACAAGATTTCTTTTATATTAAATAATATGATTTTATAATTTATTTTATTTTTAAAATGATATAAATGAAGAAAATTTATATTTTCTGAAATAAAATTAAAATATGGTAAGGATAATCTTGTATTTTTAAAACAGCTTTTCGCAGAAGATTCAAATCGGAACTTCTGCTTTTATGTTATACAAAAGCGCTTTTCGGCTTTTCAAAAGCCGAGCTTTTAGAGGTGTTTGGCCTTGCTTCAGCTTTTGAAGCCGAAAAGCACTTCTAAAAGCCGGACCAAACATACGCATAATAATCTTTGTTGAGTAATAGTAGATCTAGGGCCTGGATTGACACTAGAACTTCATTCCACTATATTACTCCTTAATTTGTGGTTACACTTGGCCACTAATTAGAGTGTTGATAAAAGCAAGTCAATATGATTGTCTCAAGTAATGATACTGAGGGTATTCTTTGACTAAGGTGCTTTATGAAACTTTTCACCTTAACAAACTCGGCTCTTTGTCTTACTATATGAGTTTGGAGGTTCAGCTCACATGTCATATGTTATCTGATGGTGGTAAACATTATCGTAGTGTGGTTGGCAGCTTAATTTATATGGCTTCTAATCATATGATATTGCGTATGTCTCAAATTGTTAGTCAATTTATGTAAGCTCCTCGTACAGCTCGTCTTGTAGCTATTCATCTAATGATGGAACAAATAGCTAAACAGGCATGTCCGCTAACGAAAACTCACTATTAAGCTGGCTTTGAGCTCCAGAGCAAAACTGCTGACAGCTTAGTAGCATAACTATAACGTTTACAGCACCAGCATGGACAATGGAAAAAGAACTACATATATAATTATAGTATGGCTCAGAAACATCACGTACATGACCTACTACCACCATCCATACCAGAGCACAGCTGAACCTCTCAATTCACTCTACATTATGTTGTTCCAAGCAAAGCAGTTTCAGCACATCGTCCGGCCTCTGTCAGTACCGAAGTATGATCATCATCACACCATCTGTTTAACACCAATTTTTCCCTGGCAACACGCAGACAGTTCCACCATATAATACTATGCCAAATGAAAACATAATAGCAGTAAACCAACTAGAAGCTATAACCATCAAAATATCAGTCTGCAAAACAGGACTTAGATTCTCATTTATATACAGAACTCTCGTAAGTCGTAACCATGCACTCCAAAAGAACAAAACCAAAAAGTGTGGGAAAGAACACTTATTAGTAATCCTGTGTGGGTTATATAAACAGATAGGAAAATCCACATGGAGACTAAAGGCAAGTGTGGAGGAAGATCATAGTAGTACACATGATCAAGCTATGTTTTTCTTCCGTTTCTTTCATGTCTACTTTTACTAGAGGGAGCAAATTTCATATCATACATGCAACTACTGTGACTTCCTTCCCCAACAGGCATGTCCTATTTATCAGCGAAGCGTCCAAAAAGGAGCAGCCAGGTATTCACACGGTGCCCTTTCAGGCAGAAGCTGCTCGGTTTTTTGGACAACAGGAGGTTTTACAGTTTGTTCCTTGTCCTGGAACGGAAATGAAAGAGAAAGAGAAAGGGAAGCAGACACACCGTCCTCCTGCTCTTTGTCCGCCATCACTTTCTCAACTGCTGCTGCTGGTGGCGGTGGCAGTAGCTTGTTCTTGTCAGTAGTATTCTTGTCCACCATTCCGACAATGAAAGGCAGAATTCCCTTAGTTGGGGGTAGTTTTGTCTCACCCCCTAAAGCAAGCTCAAGATTCGGCGTAGAAGATTGGCCCTCGCGTCTTGATGCTGACGACCCTCCCTTCCAGAGAATGGAATGTGAATCCACAGGAAAGAAGTACCTTTCAGCAGTAGCTTTCGACGTCTCATCATCTCTCTTAGAATTGCAGTCTCTTGAATTGTCATACCCATCAAGTCCTTCATCACTCAATTTTGGCTTCTTAGCAGCACCTTCTCGGTCTACCAACACAGTGTGAACCACATTCCATGGCATGCCTTTACCAACTGTGCTACCAGGACTCTCTGGAGGCGGCATCTCAGAAAGATCCAAGAGCGGCCTTTTTCTAATATTAGACAAGAAGTCTCCCTCCTCTGAAGTTTCTATGTCCATATCTGTAATGTCTTCATTCAAGTCTCTGATAACAGTAACTCCACCCCTACTGGCACCGTCTGTTCTGCCAACTGCAGGCTCTTGAAGAATGTTGCCCCTCACACCTAAATTTCGATTTTCAACAGTAACATTCTTGAGTGCAGACACATCATCTTGGACATCTGAAGCGTCTGAATGCTTCTGTGCCTCCTGCTTGGAACCACTCTTGGACTCGGAAACCAGAACAGATGGTTTTTCCTCCATATCCACTCTGCACTCTAAATCACCAATATCTACCTGCAAATAAGATCGACATTAAAACAAAAACAGGTCCATATTATTAACACCAGGCAACACGCTGCCCAGATCTAGAAAGACAACAAGTGGGAGAAAAGTTTATCTGTTCTTGGAAACACAAGATTCAGAGAGGCATGACATGAAGTTTTCTTACATGAAAACTTTATTTCATAGGTGTAGACTGCGATAGACTCGGATAAATGAGTGCATACCATGTCTGCCCTAGTTTAGAAATAGATTTTATTCATCACAACCTAAATGTTAATATCTAGAATTAGTCTGAACTCTGAAAAAAACAAATTAACTAAAAGTATAATCGATTTGTTCATTTTCGCACATCAATTTATCTATAAAGTGGGCATTAGGTGAAATTATTGAGGGGTAACTAACAAGAATTATGTAAATATTTGAAAGACTTATACAAGTAAATCATAAATGATTTTGGCGCAAATCCATGCATTTATTTGTTTATCATAAATCATAATATAATTAAGATTGATATTGATATTGTTATTTAAGGATCAAACTATCAAAATGACAATTAATTAGGGAAATGTATAGAATACCCCTAAAATATAGGTGTGTGACAGGCAACCCCATTTTAGAATTACTACTTCACATTGCAAGATTGAAAGATGCTCAACTGGTATAGTAGGTAAGTAAAAAAAAAGGTTACCAGGGTAGCACTGGCGTTGGAAGATTCTTGATTTGAGGACACACTGCATGTCGTGTCATTTAAATCAAATCTACAATCCGGCTGCTCTGACTTAACAGCAAAGTCAGCTTTTCCCTCCTTTATGACCCCATTTTCCGACAAGCATGTATTCTTGTTCAAATCACTTGATGAAACATCCATACTGCAGCAATCATCTGATGCAGAAGTCCCATTATCTTCACCTTCAGCTACCAAATTCAGACTGGGGACAACTGGCTTTCTTATGCAATCATAAGAACTTGATCTCCTTCCCTTGAACACGCCCCACAGGAAAAACATCATGTTCCAACCTGTCAATGATAACATGACCTCAGCATTCTTCCTCGACCAGGATATGAACAGAACTTAGCCATGGTCCTACCCATGACTTACACAACTAAAACATATGGAGGCACAACTAATGGCAAGAAGAAGGGGGAAAAAGTGTTCCTAATTCAATTAGAAAAACGTTATGTACTTGGCACCAAAATTAACAGAAAAATATGTATGACCCAAGAGGAAAAAACCACCAAGTAGCTGCTCAGCTCACGTTCATTATTTGAATGCAAGTAACTACTAGAACCTTATTTACATGAGAAAGGCCTTTACTGAGCCCATAACCTTGTGATATCCATGAAGTAGGTCCCAGTTGTGAATTTCCACAAGGCTAAGCATTTTTAAATCGCACTTAACATCGAACATACTCTGGATTTCACAAGTTATCTGGCCATTGACACGGCACGAGGAGTACATGCTAAAGAAGTCACAGTAACAATGACTAAAAGGTAAATTCATAAAATAAAACAAATTCAAAAAAAGATAGGGAAGTTTAATATAAGAATAGAGATGAGGCGTGAGCTAAGAAAACGAGAACCAAGAATACAAACCAATGAGAAACTGAACATTAGGTCAACAGAAACAGGGAGCACTATACGAGAGTGTTACAGGAGGCTGGTTAATTATAGATGCCGATCTTTATTGTTTATTGATAATCACCAATGAATTGGGGGCAAAATTCACAGCAAAAGAGAATATCACAGCAAACTTTAAAACAAGCCAATATCAAACCATCGCTCAAGCTTATGAAGTGGTGGTTGTGGCAAGAATGCTGGAGTACGAGCAAGTAATTCTTACGCTGAGAATCCTCAGGTAGCTGAGTGGATGGGAATATCAAGAGTTCAACACCATCAAAGTATCCTTTGAAAGCCAAATCTCTTTTAATAGCATTATCCAATAATCCCTTGTAGTGCTTGTAACTGTATTGAAATGGAAATATATTAACAACACCGAGATATGACAGAGTAGCACATCTCCAATACATGGACCTCTATACGAACATATTTTATGATTCAGATATTTACCTATCGAGGTCCTTTGCAAAAAAGTACAGAGCAATGTTATTTTCAGTAGCGCCATTTTCATGGAACTGTCTCGGCCACATGCTTGAGCGGGATACTTCGTCTAAGCTAATATTCTGAGGAAACTTGTTCACTACTTCGAGAACTTTGGGTGATGCGCAGGTTGACAAATGCGCTTGATAGCCTCCATGAATATTGCTGATTTTTTCGCCCCTGTGTACCTCAAAGGTACCCCTGCATGAAAGTATTGTAACCATATCTAGACCACTTCTTTGACAAGAAAAAGAAGCAATGAACATCAATATGCATTAAGTAGTGAACTTACTGCCAAATAAAGTCATGCTCTGGGATTGGCGACAACTTCTCAAGTGCACTGGCAGATGAAATAAGACCGGATCTCCCAGTGGAAGAGTTGGCCAAATCTGAATCCACTCTAGGGAAAGCAACACTAACAGAGAGTGTATTAGATAGCTTGGCACTTCCATAATTAGCTTGCTTTGTGAAGTCCATGGACCAAGGCCCAAGAGTGGGTTTCTCTTCATGCGATCGTTCATCTAAGGTGGCTAGTTTTGTCTTATTTGACCCTGAAAATTTTGCCTTAGGACCCATATGATAGTTCATATCCACATTTGATGAGGACAATCCGTCAGATTGATCACTTTCATGCTTCTTTCTATATATTCCAGGCCTTTTAAGCATAGCAGCCTCAATTGCTGCTTTTAATTTACTGTCTCTATTAGTCTCATCACCAATACTTTTTGTAGCTGGTGTATCACTGACAGGAGCACGAGGACTACTGGATGTGCAATTTTCCACAGAATGACCAGCTTCCTTACACTTTTGACAAGTACCTGTCTCTTTTGGTGTTGCAGCAGCAGGTCTCATGCGACCAGAGCTATCTCTAGTTTTCTCACTATGGCTTGATGATTCCCGTGAGCGAAGCAGGCCATCGTGTGAATTATCATCAACAGCATTCAAAGATTTCTCCGCACTCCAAGAAGTACTTGGTGAGGGTTCATCCTTAGGGCTAACTTGATTTAACTTCCTTTCAATGGAAATTCCATGAACAGAAGAGGCCCGAACTGCATCAGTTTAACAACCTTAAATAAATCAACATCTTTATGAATAAAAACTTAACGAACCAAGATTGTGAGAGAATAGATTTTGAAAGAAGCTGATTCTATGATGAGACAGTGGAATAATACCAGATGTAACAGGAGCATCTCCACCTTTCCGGGCAATGCCAGCACTTGATCTAGGTAAGCTACTGAATTTTCCATCAGTTGTAGCACCCTTAAACTCTCTACTGTTGGCTGCTGATGATAATGGAAGACTGTCACTACGAGGAGTAAGCTTTTGCTCAAGCTTTGGTGTGGTGACTTTCGAACTTGATGCCACCATAGCACCGGAAGGGCGGTCCAACTTAGGCAAATGTCTTCTTTCAAATGCATTATGATCTCGTGCTTGTCTTAACCCTTTAACATCTTGACCATGTGCAGTTTTTGATGAGAGCATTTTCACTTTGGACTCCGTACGGCCAGAACCTGTATGTTTGAATGACATAGATTTGCTTATCATTCTGCCAGATCCATCCTTACTATCTGGCAAGGAACTCTCTCTGCATGTCTTGTGCTTTTGTGATACTTCGTCAACAAGCTTCACTTTTGGCTTGGAACTAATAGTGCCGAAGGAATTGGACTTGAGTAAGCTACCTATACAAAGAAACAAAGAACCAGCCGTGTCAAATGCAGCAAGAAAACAAAAGTTCATGAAAATCCTTGAAATTAGGAAAAATTAAATGACCCATTTCAATAAAAATCATCAGACTTCAACGTAATACAACGCATACACAAAACCAGTGGTGCTACTAATTTCCCTGTGCACATTTAACTTTAGAATTTGAGTTCCCATCTTACACTATACACCTACTTTAGCAAGGAATACTTTAGACGAATCTTGTATGAGGAAGAAACCTAAGCGATAATCTTCAAGGGCACTTCAAAAGATTGTCAATGTCAACAAAATTAATGGAAGAAGTTCAATAATATAATGCAGCAACCCAAGAGACACCCAACTAGGCCTCTAGAAGAAGAAAAAAAATATGCCTGATAGACATTATGTCAGATTATGGTCTCCTCAAAATTCCTACAGAATAAAGAGTTTAATATCCTACAAGATTATCTCCCTTCTCTACATTCAAAGCCCAAACATGACATAATGTACGCAAACGGCACGGTTGCACAGCACGACTGAAAGCAACCTCCAGTATAGCCACCTTCCCTGCAGAGCCACGATAGCTATCATCCATTAAAAAGGAAAATACATTTTAGTGGAGGAACAGATACTTAATAAATATTTCCTCCCTCATCACTAACTACTTATTACATGGAATTCCTTCCATTCCATATTCATCTAATTCCCATCTAGACACACAAGTTTATATCCTTCAGAAGAGTAACTCCAAGCCAAAGGTCAAGAGGAAATAAATTTTCTGTCCAGTGCCAAACATGATCAATCAAGTGTGAGAATTATATGGAAAAGGAAACAACAGGGTTTGTAATGGAAAAGGAAACAACAGGGTTTGTCACACAAAATTCAGCAAAAAATAAGTGAAGTTTTTACCCTTGGGACTTTGAAGTCGTGGAGCAGTATTAGGAAACCGAGTGCTTTCAGGATCATAAACAGAGTGATTGCCAGAATATGTTTGATGGCTTGCCTTTACTTTCTCCTTATCCAAACTCCTGGAAGAACTGTTACGATGCAGTGTAGCAACTCCCATAGGGCTGGATTGTTTGGGTGATCCTGAACCCATGTCAATAGCCTGCCTTTTTGAACTTGAGGTCACCTCTACCATTTCAGAAGGCCTCTTCTTGAAGCTTTGTGAAGTTCCTTTGCCTACTTTTTTTCCCTCTGAATCTAAGCGAACAAAATGTCATCAAGGACTCTTACAAGTAGCACTAGCAAATCATGGGCACATGAAAGTATTTCACTCTTCGGAAGAGCCACTACAGATACCACTTTAGCTTTACCTTGCTTCTGTTTTTCGAGTTCTACAGCTAGGTTGCACTCTTCACATAGCCAATCGCCATCAGGAACTTCTAGGAGCATTTCTTTCATGCAATAACTGATAAATACAAGAGTAATCTTGTGAAACAAAATGCTAAATACTACATATTTGTATAAATAATAAAACAGTTAGACAACAATAAAGTACTGTACAAACTGCTTACGTGTGCTCCGCACCGTCACTGCACCTGCTACAAATTGCAAGTTTTTCCTCCTGACCTGCATCCCCACAAATATCGCATACTTTTACCTGTTCCAAAGCATGTTGAATCCATTTCAGGGAAATATATACAAAATTTCAATTAAGGGGGCTAATACAATTGCATGACCTCCATTGTAAGTTCCATCAATCAACTAAAAGAAAAGATAAAAGTTTAAAAAAATTTCCTTCAATCCCTGCATTTACTTTGCCTTCTTAACGACGAGGCATCCACATAATGAAAATGGAAAACACAGGTCAAAACCAAACGCACCGACCCTTTTGGATTCGGGGCCTCCAAGTAAATCACTCCACTTTCAAAAATTGAAACTGAACGATATCTTATAAAAGCGTAATAGCTCACTGATCGAGTGCTCTTGCACCAAAGGTGCACGGGGCTAAGCGATCTACAGAAGAGCACACTCTTCCCCAACATATGGGCATAGTATGTGGAGCATTACAAGTTACAATCATGCACATAGCACTACCACCAACCATTCACAGCCACCCGAGGATGTATAAGAGATGCATGCTTGCAGAACTGCCCCTAGTGAATTAAAAGTTTCAAACAAGCACATAGCACTACCACCAGCAGCAAAACCAGGATGTATAGAAGATGGGCACATGCATAACTGGCCCACTGAATTACAAGTTACAAACATGGAAATAGCACTACCACAGACCATTAGCAGCAGTCCCAGGATGTATAAGAGATGCACACTTGGATAACTGTCCCTAGTGAATACATATGGAAGTTTCTTCATCGACATTCAGAGTCACTCCCAATGTTACACTTCCTCAATTCTCAAGCCAACCTCAGACTGATTATTTTTTTATATCCCGCAAGTCCAAAAAAACACATACAAAATTAAGGCTGGGAAGAAAAACAAGTACTGAGGCTAGAGATGCACATTGAGACACATGATAAGCAGTTCACACTTGTGCTTGTAAGATGTTTAATAAGTAAAATCTCTTACGTCTTGTTCCACAATTTCAGAGTCATCACTCTCATTGGCAGAAGTCGATATCCCACAAGTTCAAAAAATGAATAGAAAATTAAGGCTGGGAAGAAAACAAGGACTGAGGCAAGAGATGCACAGTGAGGCACATGAAAAGCAATTCACACTTATGCTTATAAGATGTTCGAAAAGTAAAAGAAAAAATCTCTTACGTCTTGTTCCCCAATTTCTGAGTCTTCACTCTCACTGGCAGATGCAGATTCCGCGGGTGACTCCTGAACATTCGGTAACTCAACTGACTCATCCACCTTATGATCTTGCCCAACCCTGGTAGAACAATTGACACCTATTGGCTGACGTCCACTATCATTATCAGTTTCTTCTTTGATCTCTTGACCGAGTTTACTTGAAACTTCAGATGCATCCCCCTGAGTTACAATTCTACTTTGTGGATTGTTATCTGCACCATTGTGCATAGCTGTATTACCACCAAGAAGAATATCAGGTGCAGAAGCTTCTCCACAAACTCGACTGATTGGATCCCCCTTCAAGTTCCCAACCTTTGTATTGGGCAAAAGACTGTTATTCTTGAAGGGCACCTTTCTGCCAGCATCTACATCAACCAACAAACACTCTTAACACATCTTAATTGCAAACTATTACCTCTGAAAATTACTAGAGTGATAGAGCTAACAAAAGCAAATAATAACTTATCATCACATTTACCTTGGAGACTGCTCACATTAGCCCCTGTCACACAAGATATGTTGTCACCATGGCCTTCTACAGCTTTAGAATCAACAGGCTTACTTGACCCATTTCGCTTATATGCAACAAACTCTGGCTTAGGAGAAAGAGGACCCTCAGAAACAGTTCCAACATGCTTCAAAATTGGGCAAGCCTCAAGCTTAACTGATGTCCTTACATTAGCTTTGATTTCAGCACTTTCAGACAATGAATCTCTACTGGAATCAACACTGGGAACATAACTTGCCTCACTGGTGGTATGCTGCAACATGTTGGATTTTCGACCTTTAAAGACTAGGGAATCCTCCCTGTTAACGGAATTCTGGCTTATTTCAGTTACATGGCAAGTTTCGTCGGAATATTCATCGCCCTTCGATCCCATAGAGGCTAGCTTCCGATGCATACAAGATGAACAAGGAGTGGAGCACACGTTACAGGTTCCAGATTCCACTCCGGTATGAGCCTTCGGACGCATTGATTAGTTTCCTGTGCCTTCCTCAGCCTATGATGATACTGATCAAACCTGCGAAAACCAAAACAAAAAGGAATAAGTTCAATAGCATCACCTCAAACTGAAAACATGTATACAATGAGAGCACGTGAACAAATGGATAAGTAAAAATGAAGACATATCCAAGTGAACCACATAAAGTGACAAATTGTTCAAGTTTATGAATTCCAATGCTGTACAACCAACAGAAATTAATAAATTAAGAAAATATAGGGCCTCATGCTTGAAGATCACTTGAGTGCGCACCTCAAGATACTACTGAAAGTAAGAGGACTCTGAAATTTTCAAATGAACCAATATAAATGTGAACGTCGAAGAAGAAGAAGAAGAAAAATAAACCACACACAGGGGTATCCCGTTACTATTACGTAAGCTTCCAACGCCCAGCCAAAGAATTCTTTCCGGCAAGTAATCAGGTTTTGATAGTGGCACAGATCAGGGATGAAAGTAGCTTCAACTACTTTATTGAGCTAACTTGATATCTATCTCGCAAATAAAGAAATATTCAACCAAAATGGTCATTTTTGCACCAAAGAATTCTGTGACGGCATTTGACCGAGCATCTGGCATGCAACCATAACCTTTTTTCTGGACATAGACTAGCTTTATCAAGTAGTTGGTTCAATTTGAAGAGATTTCACAACAGCAGAGATGCAGTAAAAACGAAAGGATGTTGAAAGGCAGAACTTCGATGAAAGGCAATGCGCACTCAAGAGCATGTTAACTGAAGGCAGGGCGTTTCAAGCTTAGGATGCAAAGGGCATCAGCAAATGGATCAATGCAAGAGAGAAAAACAATGACTCAATGGGCAATAACAAGAATATTGGATGACCAGAATCAGGTACATGACAACAGAAGTAAATTCACAAACAAATACACCCACACAAGTGCTCTTATATATGTATAAAAAATGTAACATTTGAAAACGGGGAAAGACAGAAGTTTGCAACTACAGAAAGACTTGGAACAGAACTTAAGTCACCTTTCCCCACTCACCAGATTCTTAATATCCTGCTTGGGTTCATCAAACTGCAGCCGCATGCAGTAACTCCTTCTCAAAACTCATGTGACCTACAATACCCGTCAACAACTCATCAGTTAAAAGAGCTAGCTACTTAACCAGGAGATCAAAAGCAGAAATCATATTCATAATGGACTGGGAAGATTGCTAGAACCCTAAGCACCCAGTGCAGAATCTGGTCCAGAAGTACAGAATCCAGAAGCAGGTCAAAGATACAGCTTGGAAGGACAGAGAGAGCCCCAACCCCCAATTGCTTGGACTGGCAAATGCTTAAAAAACTGTAATTTGCTGGTTACCCATTACGAGATTGGCATTGTTTAACTTAACAAACAGGGCAATGACGAATGCATTGAATCACAATCAGATTGCAACCAGGACAGCCAATGGGAATAAAAAGAATTCACCAAAATCCAAAACCCTAATTCCATAGACTCTTGGCACCAGCAAATCATCGCCGCCACATTGTAGAACTCTCACATCCTCCGCCCCTCGCGGACACGTTCATGCGGCGGCCGAAACTCGATCGAACAACCAATTATCCCCTCCCCTTTTCCTTTCCTTCCTTATCGCTCCTCCTACCCTCTCCCTCTACCTCCCTCCAATTGATTGCCAAATGAAATCACGAAGACCAGGCAAACAGTTTCGAAATCGTGGGAGAAATTTCTCTGTACCTAGGTTAAAACGATTGCCCTCTTCCCTATACTTTCTCTACATGAAACCAAACAACACTCACCAAAAGAAGAGAAAAAACCCAAGGCCGTACCTCCCCGAGACGATCTGATACATATATACAATAATAAAGACGCGAGACGGAATACAAATACAGACAGTACCGCCAGTAGCAATACGTACGGCGGAAGAATTATTTCAATAACGGGGGAGAAGAAAGTTGATCAATTTTTCTCTCGGACAAATTCCCACCCTAAATTTACGATGTCAGAATGGAAGTGATCCGAAAGGGGGAAAAACGGGGGTTGTTCAAATCCTTACTCTGCCCTCGTCGTTGTCTTCCTCGTTCTGCTAATTCAATTCGCTCTCTCTGTGGTCTTTCACTGTATTGTTTGTTTGGCGGAGCTCTCTCTGTTGTTATAAGGGGAGGGGGGAAATATGCAAAATAGCAGTAAACAAGAAAATGATAATAATCAATCGCCCCAAATCCATTTCTTGCTCTAGATTTTCTCTTTCTCTCTCTAATCTCTATATGTCTACTGTTTATTACAGATTGTAAAATCGTTGTACCGTTATGTCGATTTGGCAAGTAATATGCTCTTATCAGTGGTACAATTAATTTATATCGACTTCTGCATAACATATAGAAAAGTAGGGAATTATTAACACTGAATGAATTTTCTATAAAAAAAAATAGATTTAGGAATATATATAAATAATATACCAAATCTCTCTACAATCAACATTCATATTGAAATGAATGATAACATTTTAAACAAAATAAAAAATCAACATATTTAAATACAACATTTAAAGCTAACATCCAACGTTTATACTTGAATCCTACAAATAATATCAACATTTGAATTCCAAAATTTAGAAAACAAAATCAAAATTATCTTTTTTGTTAATCGATTATATCTGTCAATACCGGAAGTATTCTAGCCAGGTTTATAATTAGTACCGATTGGCAAACCACCGCTTTGACAAATGACAACCATGGCTTACAATGTATATATATTTAAAGAGTATTAATTACAATTACCGGGGTTTTTCTCCCTCTCTTCTCTTCTAATACTAAATAATGTATATACAAAAATACTACAATAATATTCTGTCAACGATTAAAAAAAAACTTAATTTGATAAGTGAAAACTCGACATTTTATGTTTCGTGTGATCAATCACAGTGACAAAAAAAATTTAGATATTTTAATAAGTGATAACATCATAAATACACATGTTTATTTCCTTATTTCTTGGCATTTGAGCATGGTTTCTTGCATCCAAGGCTTATTTACACTAAGTTGTGTTCTTTTTATGGCATTTCTAGTCCTAATACGTAAATGAGGGCTTATGAGCATTTTCGGGCAATTGTAAGTCCGGTTGGGACTTTGGAGAATGAAAATGGAGATTACATTGTCGAGCCACAAGAAACACAACTGTGCTTCAGAAGAGACAACATGTGCTTCATTAGAGGAGGTAATGCATGGGTTATGCTTAGAGTTACATGACCGTGTATCTCTAGGGGGAGTCTGTGTAAAACCCTTTAATCGATGACTCAACTATAAGTCTATAACATCACTCTATCCATTTCATTAAGGTCATTTCCTACCCGGACATTCGTCTATTATGATAGGGATTTAACTAGCTAATGTGTGCTTTCGCTTCATGCCCATTATCTAATCAACGAAGAACAAAAAAGTAAGCATAGCACATGATTAATCGAGAACACGGTTGGTGCTGGAGCACCAATCACACTGCAGAGCTGGAAGTGCATATTGATTAGTAGATTGAATCTCCTTTCGTGCTACAATCTCAAGAAATTGTGTGTCCATAGATGGTTGGGAGTCGACGGTATGGACACCCTTGTATCGAGAGATCATTCCCTTCCATGAAACACCCTAGTCATAGCCCCGAGCAGCCATATCTTCAAACACATGGGTCATTTGAGGCAGGGTCTAGTTCATGCTTGGGCAAAAGGTGTCTATCAGCAGGCGGACCTCTAGAAGGAAGGCATTGTAGAATATGTCCACCTTGAAGGAGTCATTAAAGCCATGATGCGGGCACTGATAACGTCGTATTTGTACATTTTTCACCCTTGTTTCTTAACTGTTTTGGCTCGAACTTGGGTTTTCTTGGCCTATTTTACGTTAGGTGTACTCTTTTGTCACATTTCAGGTCCTAGTTGTTGAACGAAGGCTTAGACGCGAGTTTCGGGTCATTCGGCGAAGCTGGAGCAGAACACGGTCATCCCCTGCCTAGGACACGACTGCGTTTCACCGGGGTGCGTCGGTGCTTATTAGAGCGAGAGAGTTCCCGTCTCAGGAGTAGAACAAGCCCGTGTCCACAAAGAGCCGCACCTGTGTATTTTATGTCGAAGGTTAGATTGTGAAGGCTGATGAAGAATGGAAAGCACGGGATCGTGAAGGTTGACTCGCTACGACACAACACCAACTGCGACCAAGTGTAATCGCATAATGGAAAGGCAGTATAATGGGATCAAGTAATAAAAGTCAAACCCGGGGCCTAGATGTACTGCCTACTACGTGATTATCTATTATCTAGCAGGAAAAGTTGAGTGATAATGAGTTTAAACTAAAGCAGAAAGAAAGTTGTAAATTATTTGATTTTTGAAGCAAGAGAAGAGTCACTCGGAAATGAGCCCCCTAGCTCTTTAGATATGTTCAAGTTGTAATTCCTTTGATTGATTCACTATTGATTAAACTGCGAAAGATCTGAATGTAGTTTGGAATCTCTTAAGATGAACAAGCCCTCTTAGACAAACTATCAGGCAGACGATTAGCCTTCACTAGTATAGAATGCTAAGGCAATTAAGTTGACCAAGCCCTATTGGACAGACTGCTCCAACTTCGCCGAATGACCTCCAAATGACCCAAAACTCGTGTTTAAGTCTTCGTTCAACGACTAGGACATGAAATATGACAAAAGAGCACAACCTAGCATAAAATAAGCCAAGGAAACCCAAATTCGAGCCAAACCGATTAAGAAACAAGGGTGCAAACATTTGCAAATATGACGTTATCAAATTCCCCCACACTTAACCGTTTGCTTGTCCCCAAGCAAATCAAGTCAGGCACAAGGTAAGCTTCAAACGTTTTAACCATGCAAACTTTGGGGACATATCATATAGGCATAAACACATGAATCGTACTAGCCTTTAGACATCAACACATGAACAATAGCCACAACAACCGGGACAACCACCACAGATGACATTCGAGTGCAGCAAAGCAGGTAGAGGAAGAGTTTCCCTTCTGTTCACCGACCAACATAGACTTAACTCAACCACTCATTCAAAAGAGCCACCTCATGCATAAAATTCAAGACATTAGAATCAAAATTGAATCGCTCACTCTCCACCAATGGGGTAGGAACAAATTTGATGCAAGATGTGTGCATACTCATACTCTCAATACCTAACGCCTCTTCACCAGGACGACAACCTCTAGATACTAGAGTTCACATATCAGGTGCCACCACCTACTAGTTAGGAGATCTTAGACACAGGTTCAGATGACTGGCTAGGGTCTTGAACACGGGGGGAAAAGACCTTTTAGGTGGTGGAAGAAATCACAACAATAAGGTTCCACAGTTCCAAAACCAAACACAACAACATTCATTCAAACCATTTACTTTCTCTCTACTATTCTGCATTAATGGTTCATTAAAGCACAAGAGAGAAGGAGGTAACAACATGTCCGTATTTCCAAGTCGATCTGCCAAGAAACACTATTTTATGAGCATGGTTAAGATTTTTGTGGTTGCTCTCTTTTTGCTTTCATTTGTTTATGTTTTTTTCTTTTCTTGATAGAACCACCACTTATGCACAATCTTTTATTTTTACAAGCACATGCCCAATTTTTTAAGAACTACCTCCAACCCTATCTTATTTCCAGTAGGAAATAACAGAAAACATGCAAAAACCACTCTGTGGAACCTCAAAGAGATGCATAAGGGTGATTTTTCATTGTAGACCAAAAGAAAGAAAGTCACACGGCTCAAAGGGGCTAACTAAAGGGTATGACACACCAGGACAATCAATTTGGTCGTGGGCTAATCCTATGCCTCCATCATCCTAACTAGTGGCAACGTGAATGCTACACATCATGGAAGAGAGTTGACTCAAATCTCGCATGACTACCTATATGCACTATCTCTCATTCTGATTCCCTGAACTAGATGCATAAGTGTTTGTAGAAAATGAGTGATCAATCCAAGTCACAGTTGGTAAGAAAACAGTTGAAAAATTGAACCCATACACAACTCTACTGCATGTCTCAGTCATCATTATAGGTTGTCTTAGTCACAAACAAGTTATCATGCATCAATGCTAATAACCAATCACTTCACCACGTAAAACCAAATGCCCATATGAACATGCAAACATCAGTACTCGGAGCCCTCAAATCTCGAGATTTGGATAGTGGACTAGGCTCCAAGCGCACAAACAGAAGTTCCAATAAGCACAAAGCAACCCCTCACACTTAAGTTCGACATTGCCCTCAATGGAACATAGTGAAGGGAAACGATGTTACTAGGAAGTGACGATCGCAGGCGGCGATTGGAGAGTGGACCTGTTAGGAATAAGAGATTGGAGGGGGACCAGTTCATAGTCATAAAGCTAGAGTCATCAAAACACACTGGGTGATAGAGAAAACAAACCATAGTTCCATGTGCACAATCCAAAAAAGAAACAAAAGAAAAGAAAAACCGACAACAGAGTCTGAGTCTGGAAAGAAAGAAAAACATAGAACCCAACATCCCATGTGGGATCAGTAAGAGCCCACCTAGTACTCATCGCCTCCATCGCTAGTAGGAGGTGGGTAGTTATCCTCATGACCCGGGGACGCCTCACAAGGGTACTGGACAACAGTAGAGTCCATGCCAAAGTAGTGCATCATGTAGTGTTGGAATGAAATGATACAACGACAACCATCCAGCTCATAGTCGAGGCGACGATGGAGGTCTGCCTTCCCTGCGAGGATTTATCCGTTCTGGCGAGCGATGGTTGCAGCTGATCAACAATAAAGGCAGAGGGGGTGGCAGAAGGCCTGGCAGAAAAGCTGGATGGGTCAGCTGCAGAGGCCAGAGGTGCTGGCAAGTGGCTGGGCTCGGCGGACCGGACGATGAGGCCCAAAGCGAGCTTCAATGTCACTCGCCTCGGGGGGTCTGCCGCATCTGGAGTAGGGGTAGGAGGACGAGGAAGCCCCTTGATCCACGTCAGGGGTCCGTCGCGGGCAATTAAGAGCTGATGCCCGAGAGTCATCTCGCCGAGGGGAGTAGGTGCCCAAACCAAGGTCATGCCAGTGATATCAACCCGAAAGTAGCGGGCCAAAGCAGTGATCACGGGCCCACATGCAAGAGGGTGACCGTGAGTAGCAGCCTTGGCAAATGTCCTAGCAAGGACAAATCCTAGCTCCATGTTGTCTTCCGCCTGACCCATCGAATGCATGAAGTACAACGTCCGGAGGGTAATGCGGCTGGCGGAGCCCCGATTGGGTGTGTAGGACTGGTTTAGCAACAGGTTGAGGATGCGCCACTCCGGACGGAGGAGGCTGACCCTCGTCTGGCTAGGCGTAAACCCCTCACCCAACACCGAGGGGAGGCAAATACTCTCGAAGTATGCCTGGTCCTGGAATGAAGTGGGATCAGGCTCCTCAAGGGACAGGTGGCACACATGAGGCGGGTTGAGATCGAGTGCAGAGGCCAACTCCTAGTAGCTAAGGGAATTATCTTCTCCGCCAAGAGTGAACTGTACAATTCAATTTTTAACTAATCATTTTCATGCACATTCATTTATGATACAAATTGAACTTATACCTTCAATATTATTATTCAAATCAAACATATAGCTGCAAATACCGCATTATAAAATTCCTCTACCGAACATAGTTTGATTCCTCTACCGAACATAGTTTGATGTTCGTGGTTTTTCATGCAAAAAACGAGCTTGAAAAAGACAACCGACCTAAATTACACTATGAACCGGAAAGTACATGCTATGGGCATTACACTATGAACCGGAAAGTAGAGCTGATAATGAAAATAATATATGCTATAACTGTATAGTTTTGGGCTGCAGCCTCTCTTTTTCCCTATTCGCCATCAAAGTTAAACCAGAACTAATCAATTCGGTAGTACGGGTTTTGTCCGTTGATGCCTTGGCTTCTTCTTCCATTAATACTGGTACAGTTGGCCTCTTTATTCATCTACCAAAATGGCTTTACACTTTGCAGAATAATAATTAACAAAGAGAATTGGTAGAGATATAAACACCGCAGAAGCTAGCATCAATGAAGCCACCACATTTTCCCTCAAGTCAACCTATGCAATTAGTACAGTCACCCACACCACAAAACAGGGTCTTGCTTTCACATTCTCTGCAACTCAACAATGTCTCTCCGCTGAGACATCCCCAGCAGGTCAGGGAATAGAAGCCCGATCCCTCTGCCTTGGTGTTCATGTATGGTATTTGAGATTTGCAGCTTTTTGTCACAGTACAACTTTGGAGGAGGTGCATTTTGTCAGTCGATGGTATTGCTTATCAATCGATGGGATGCTTATCGATCTGGCGAGAGGTGTAATGAGCTGAGAGCAGAAGCAGGGAAAGGAATGCGCTTGCTACGAAGATGGCGTCAAACCACCGGTGATAGAAGTCGAACTGGATATCCCCGCCTAGCACGTCGGTTATGATCATCCTGCCCAAGACACAATATGAAGCATATACTTTGGAGGTTTTTCTTATTGGATGTAAGGAAATGAAAGATTGCAACTTGGGAGGACAGGGTAAAACATCGTATAGGCCAAATTACTCGTACCGGTATTCGGTGGCTAAGCTTTTCCTTATCAGCAGAATGGAAGAGAGGAAATACATCCCCATGATTTCAGATAGGAAAAGCACAACGTTGCTTGAGGACCCACTCCCAGCTCTGGACACTGCAAAGAAAAACTGGAAACAGGCCAAGATAAAGTTTGAAAGGTAACCCACAAACATAATGATGGAGACTTGGAAAGTAATAAGGAATTGGTGCGGGCATTTAGGTTAGTTTCCAGTGTTTTCTACAGTGTTCCTGGGAGAACTGCGGTTTACCCAAGCAAGACCCCTGTTTCTCACTAATTTGTAGGGTACTGGGACCTGGAAGGACATTTCTCACACCTCTATTTATACATTCACAGCCCTTACATGATGGAAACTCACACTTGCATTGCTTCAATTGTTATGGCGCCAGCTAAAGTGCCAGTTTAAATAACCGCTAACCAACAACCCCCCGCTCCCCGGGTTTTCTTTTGCTTCTTATTTTCTGCCTACTGGAGATACGAAGATAACAAGACTGCCACTCCAGTATTATGTACCAACTGAAAGCCACACTTATTTTGATTCTAAAATGTTAAAATGATGAGTTCCAATTGTACATGACGCGACAGAGAGCAATGGAGATGGGAAAAGTACCTTCATCAAATTTGACAAGAACCCCCGAACTGAAATCACTATCAACAATCCGATGAACATCAAAGAAATGTACTGCAGCAACAGATATATACACAACAGCCATAAGTTTTATTTCAGCGTTCCCCAAGCAAGACAAGGAAACAGGTAACTCATTTCAGTGAAGTATCTACTTTTGGAGTAATATGGGAAAATTGCACACCGACCATGTCTATAATAATTCAAATTATATGCAACACAAATCCAGAAGCACAAAGGGATGTAGAAAGTAGAGGTGCTAGAAGAATCGAGTTTGATAGCCTTTGCAAAAATCTGGACCAGTCTTACAGTTTTTGTTGTTCAATAAGCAGGCTTAGTCAGAGTCCTATCTATGAAGCCACTATGCCAATCGTACTGAATATAAACTCACGCAATTATGCACTAATTAACTCAGCAGCTCTTTAACGTTCTGGAATTTAAACCACTGCAATCATGTGTCACTAATTACTCCACTGGATTAAGCGTACAAGAGAACACGAGAAACAATATTTCTATATGAAAAGTCGAAGTGATAAAAGAAAGACGAGATAAACCAGCACAAAAATAAACATGTAGAAAATCCAGGTTAAACATTTTAACTGACCTGAGACAATAGTGCAGCATTGATTCCTATGTCAAAGAACTGTAAGGATATACTAATGGTCATTGTAACAGGATCTACAGATCCAGCCTGGAAAAAAAGAAAAATACATGAACTTTCTTGATACGACAAGAAACTCAGTAGACGTTGTAGCATTCGGCAACATATTTTGAAAGTAGATACACATAACTATAATAGATAGAAGGTTACCTCTTTGAATATAACACTTTGCAAAGACTGCCAAAACAGATACAAACTCCAATCAGTAACAATTACCATAATGTTAAAGAAGAGTAGACACTATAATGATGACTACCAGAAATGCAGAGGATGGTAATCTCCTCCAAACTGTAAAGAAAATCACAGCCATACCTTAATCATTTTATACACACAGTAGACCGAGCATGCATAGCCAAGACAATTTTGCATGTGTCCCCTCCAAGTTCGAGAGAAAGCAGCAGCTTCCTGAAAATAGATAACCAATTTTCACAGATGCTTTTCGTAGCGTGTAGAACTGGAAAGATGTGATAACTACAATCATACAGAATAACAGAAAAGCTGCTCCTTACTGCCTACCAAATGCACCAAAAAACAATTTAACCTTTCAGAAACATTGTGTAAACAAGCAGATATAATAGTGCAAGGGCTATTATCACATAAAAGAGTCACTAGGCTAATCAACATAGATGGTTCCTTTTCCTCACTCCTGCAACTTGAATCAGCTCATTCTTCATGCACTGTCCTTGCTCAGTAAATAACCCCAAACAACCTTAAATATACTAGCATCATTATTTGGGGTGTATAGCTGTCAATCATCCTCAATTCCAGCGGCAACCCTATCTAATGGATGAGTTTGTCAAGCAGCTGCATCTCACCAGCACTTGCCCAACGAGGACTCCTTATTCTGGTATATCCAGCAAAGGCTTTAAATGACTCTATCCCATATTGTCAATTACCTCTTCCGGCTTGGCTATTGCAATTCTATGGACCTCTATTGCTCCATTCAGAATTTCAAAATAAAAGTCAGTATATTTACCTCGCTTGGTAAATATTAATTCCCACAAGACACTAAGATGTGGTCTGCTTCAGTCTAATTCACTCTAGGAATTGTGTCAGCAAAGAGCACACACGTAAGGTACAACTTAAAATACGCTTGGGGAGTTTCATAACAAGGAAAATAGACATGCAGTACTCAAACTTTTACCATCAGCAAAGCAAAAATCAATAGGAACCCATATATGTTACTCTGGACCATTTGCACATCAGTTAAACGTCATTTTCCGCTCAACCATATAGTGAGATTAACTATACTGATGATCCTAAAACAGATATGTCAAATGAAGTGCCATGAGTTGCAAATACATCAAGCAAGACAAATTCAAGAAATCAAACCTTAGCTAGTCGCAGCTCATATATTTCAAGGAAAAGCTGCTTTGAAAGCTCATCTAATGCTTGTACTTCTGCTTCCATGGTTTTGATATCTGGGTAAAAGATCAAGCTAAAATAAATGATTCAGGGCTGCGAAAAGAGATGACTTTTTGAGAATTAAAAAGCCAAATGCACAATGTGGAGCAGCATGTCTGTCACATCCGTCAACAAAGTTGGCTTATTCAAATTAGACAGAAAGAGGCTGGAGAGAAAACATGAATGAATGCCAAGGTAAAAGTGCAGAACCACCTAAAATACACAAGTGCCTTATACTACATTACCAACCCATGCATATCATTTAACATATACTAAGACATAACATATAACTACTTCGGCTTAAAAAAATGCCAGGATGACAAACAACTGCCACTGCAGAAGTACAAGGGAAATGACTCCCGCAGAAAAAGATGACTAGAATCTGTCTCCCTAGTCATACATTCTAAGACAAATATACTGCTATTGAGAGGCTTAGAAGGGTTAAATGGTATAAACCTTGCTCCGTTTTATCATCTTGAACAGACCGTACAACTGTACCAACTATACGTTTAAAGAAAGATCTACCATTTAGCTTCTGCAGAGAAAAAGCCAACCATGAGAAAATCATATGTGTGAGGAACCAGGTTATATTAATACCTTATGGGTTATAAGATTCACATCTACAACTGATATCCTTTAACGAAATACCCAAAAAAAAAAAAAAACAGTGGAGGGACAGAGGGAGCACTATAAAGGATATTACACAAGAATCACATCCATAACAGCCCTGATGCCATTTGAACAATCTTTATTCCTTTCCTTTATCTCTTTCCCGAGCGGCCAATTCTTAGCTAATTAAGAGAGGTAATTTCTAATGACTTAATCTTTGGTGGTTGTTTTCCTCCAAATGTGTCGGTTTCCTTTAGCTATTTCCGAAACCAGTCATATTAGGATGACATGAATAACAAATGTGATAAAGCAAAATAAATAAGTACCTCCTCAGTTCCTTGTATGCGTTCCATCTCCATTTGAGCAAGAATAATTTTCTTTTTCTTAGCGATGCAAGTCTCAATAGAATGCATCAATTGTCTTTCTAGTGCCTTGATCTCTGACTCCTCAATTTCTCTATAACAGAAAAATTACAATCACTTGATCAAGCAGATATAGAACTCCTTGTAAATATCCATTCGATAACAAGAGCAAACTCAGCAAACATTAAAAAGCAATCGGCTTTTCTTAATTGAAATGAAGTAGCCAACATTCTTTGGGAATACTCCACGATATAGAACTAAATATCAACAAACTCCTGAGCCAAGAACAATTTGAGGAAAGCAGTAAAAGGATGATGTTTTCGTAGTTATTGAAACCAGGACGTTCTAGGATTCAGGCACATCAGTACCATCAACCAATCAATGGAACCCGTTGTCAAGGTCAATTATTCGCAAAGAGGACTTCTCAGTGGATTCGCAAAGAGAACCTATTCTCGGTGGATTCAAACTGACGACATTTGAATAAAAAGAATACAAAGAAGATCATCTCTTACCTAATAAAGAGAGATAAATAACTGTATGGTAAATTCACAGCTCCAAAACCAGACAAAACAGCCATGACAGTCACACCAATGACGCCGATTCTACTTACTAGCTGAGGCATCGTAAAAAATCCTGAAAATTAGTTAAGGGAATATTAGAAGCAACAGTATGGAGCAGATAAATCCATGACATTGATGTACAAACTACCCAAGTGGGGAAACTAAACTTCAAGAATTCAGTTCCGCGATTAAAAGAGACACTATCTCGACATAGAAGCATATGCAAACCTTTATCAGGCGAAGGCATGGGGAAGTGAATGCCCATGCGCCAGAAAGCATACAGAAAGGCCAGAACAAATAAGATGGCTCCAAGTGCCGCACGCTCTTTCCTTACACCTAAGTAGAATGTAAATGTTTTAAGATAACGGACGCACAAGAAAGCAAGTACATACTGAAAGGAGAGACAATTGGTCCCAATCAGACACAGGCCCTGGTTCTGGAATCACATTCATACTCAAAATATAGTGAAACTGTATGATATTCTCTCTGCATATAAAGAAAGTATTGCCGTAAGAGTTGAGGATCGAATAGCTCGGCCTCTTAGAAATCTCTTTCCTTCTGCACACCCATCTTATTCAGACTGGGATTAAAAGGAAAACTAAGGAAAAGGTATGTATGCCTTTAAACTACTGCTTTTGATAAACCACTCTAATATAACTGAGACAGTGTATAACGGGAAACATTATAGCTTAGTATTCAACAAAAAGGATTTGATGATCCCAAAATTCACAGTGCCAACAGTATCATCCGGCAACAGTTGTTTTGCCAATAATAGTTCCAAAACGAGAAAACACAACAACATTATGTTTGCAAAAGAAGCAAGACATGATTAACTAGATGAGCAAGAATGCAAGGTAAATGAATGTTGAATGTATAAACCAAAGTACATACCACTGTTGCAGAGCATCAAGTAGCAGTGATAATATGGCAACAAGAAGACGAGCAACAGAATTAAACAGAAGAGATCCACTTTCCAGTTAATCCATCTCGTCCTACAACAAGAAAACACACAAGCAACTAAGTGAACGTGAGCAAGCCAAAGATAAGAAACCCATGCAATGCATCCGTTTTTTGCCTTCCAATGATTAGCACCAAAGTAGTTTCAAGAACATGAATACAAACATAGAGCAATAAGCACCAAAAATACTGTCAAAATCTACAGATTCTTCTGCTCCTAGACAGCTAAACCATACATTTAGAGCCAGCTTCTGAACTAAGAAGCTCCATTCTCAGTACGTACTAGTTAGAAGTCCCAACTCAGTAAAAAAGAAAAGCAATGGCAATTGACCTCCGTTTTCACGGAGAACGATTCCAAATGAGAATTACCGTCTCCAACTGTTTACTTCTGCTACTGAATCACATAAAGCATTTCACCCGAGCAGTGAAGCCGAAGGAAGCAAACAGAAGAGGAGAAGAGATGTTGGAGGAACAATTACTCTTTGGAGAGGAAAGGGATGATCTCATAGAGCACGAGCTGGAGAAGGTTGCAGGAGAAGGCGAAGACGACGCTGAAAATGATCTGCACCAGAACTCTCTTCTCTTCGTACTCTTTGTAAAGCCTGCGGTTCAAGAACCACAGCCCTGCCCAGCCCAAACCGCAGAGTGAGCCTACCACCACCACCCCTTCGTATATCGCCATTCCCCATCCCATCTGTGGCAAAGCCACCTCTCTCTCTCTCTCAGTTCACCGTCCTCTTCCCGATTCCGGCCTCCGCTGATCCACCTATTTACGAAGTTCCTCCGTTCCGGCGTAATGTGTCAGTGGAACGAACTCGTTTTGTTTGTTTGGCCGGAAAACTGGTTTTCTTGAGTCCTCCAATTAGATCGGGAGAGGGTTTCTCTGACTCTGGGTTTGATTTCCCATTCTCCTCACTCGTGTTGTGATCCGAAGGTTCTACTCCGCCTCCATGGCGCTCTAACAAGTTTTATTGCAGTCGATCTATTTTAGTTATTTTATTGTTGGGTTAGTGAATGATGGGTGTTCAAATTAAAAATTATTAAAATGGTAATTATAAAATTAAATAAGACTAAATGTTGTTAATTATGAAGTGCAATATTATAATTAAATCTTTCAAACTAATACAACAATCAAATTAAAATTTAATCGATTTTGTTATTGGCTAACCAAATTAACCAATATAACATCACATTATCGAGAAAATTTTCTTGATTAATGCATACATTCACAATTTATATAATGAATAAATATAACAATTAAGACATATATAGTTAATTCTTAACATAAATACATGCAATTAATACAATTATCTTACATTCAATAGAAGCATTCACCTAACAAAAATATATGTCAATTGTATGGAGTTAATGAATAGTTGTGTTTGTGTGAATGGACTTTGTCTCTTAACAATTATCATAGCGTGAAAAAAACCTTCCTTTCAAGTATTCCATAATGTAATTGTTTTATCTAAAATATATCATATAGGGTCTATGTATATGTATTAGATGTATGGCTAATTGCTTAATTGATTGATTTTGGTCTGATTGGTTAAAAGTGTTTGAAACCAAATCAAACCACCTAAACCAAACAAGTGAAAAATGTAACCAAACCAAATCAATTATCCAAATTAACAAAATCAAATTATCCAAATACTACTGATTAAAACGGTTACTACGGTATCCACTCCGTTTGAACACCCCTACTATCAATTGTAAAGCTAGGAAATGCTCCGGTTCGATTAAACTGGACCGATTTGTACCAAGTGTATGGAGTACCAAGTGTACTTTTTTTTTCATTTCAACTACGCAATTGCTTGATAGTAGCAAATGCTTGGAAAATGTAGTTGGTTATAATTTGAGGATTATGCATGCGTACATCGAGAACAACAACACACATTTTAAGTATAAAAATATGCATATGGTACTTTATACATTAAATATGTCAAATGTGAATTTTTTTTATTGCATGTAATTGTCAATCAAAATCCGCAAGTAATGATATAATATCTACACATAATTAAATTATTTTACTATTACATAATTAATAAAATAATATATCTATTACACTTCTCAATATATTTTCCCCTTCACTTTTATCCATAAAACAAAATTTTATTTTCTTCCCTTCAAATTTTCTTTCCCCCATTTTCCTTCATTTCTTAAAAAATAGGGGGTAAGTTTCCACATTTGAGTCATTTGTCTCAATGTGTACATTTATTTGCTGGAAAAAGCTGCTAATTGACGGAAGATGTACAAGAAAAAACTAACGGAATGACCTCGGTTGATTAACACCCTGCTTCTGAAGGAAGGAAAATGGGTGGAAGAAAATTTTGGAGAGAAGAAAAAAAATATTGTTTTATAAAGGATAGTGAAGATAAAAGTGGGAGGGAAAATGTATATTGGGAAGATTTTTGTAAAAAAATATATTGGGAAGTGTGATAGATATGTTATTTTATTGGTTATACAATAGTATAATAATTTAATTATGTTTTGATATTATTTTGCTTGCTTATGAATAGTGAATCAAATTTATTCTTGCATGCTAATTTGGTTCATTATTAAAAAAATTTCCTCAAATTAAAATATCGTCCATTTTAACTCTATTTAAAAAAATTCATAAAAATTGGATTACCTCTGTTGTGCAGCCCGCGAGATACATAAAGTCTGCAGATAATTGCACACTTCACGGTTTTGGTGTGATTTCACTTCCTCAGGGCGTGACCCGGACACCCAGCCCATGATCCTTGCACAAACTCCACTTTTTGACTCATTTTGACCTTAGAATGTCCCGAAACTTGTCCCCGGCCTCCCCACACGTACTAGGACCCGAAATGTGACTAAATGAGCACAACCTAGCATAAAATAGGTCGAGGAACATTTATTACCAAGTCAAACACTCAAGATATAAAGGGGGTAAAAAACATGTGTAAATACGCCCGAATTAGGATTGGTACTGCCATCCATCCTTTTTGAAATCCTACCGGGACAAGTCTAAATTGAAAAACGTTGCCACCTCAGATAAAGTGTGGGGTAAAATCCAAGTGTGAGGCATCCTATCTTTGGAAAAACCAGGTTTTGGAAGAGATACTAGTTGAGTCTCAGTGGGGTAGTCCTACGAGATGATGCTAGTTTCTCTGTAGTAAAGTCAATTTCCACCTGTATGACAGGATTGCAACTTGAGGATGTGTTTTCAAGGGCACGGATAAAGCTTCTGACACCCCTTGATTTCATTGGGCCTCCATACGATTGAGAAAAAGGAGCTAAAACTGCTATTGCTTGATCAAGGCTTGCTAAGTACCAAAGCACAAAGCAACATAGACCCACTAGAGCGTAAAAGAGCACAATGTGCGCAAAAAGGTTAGGCAAGCTCGTCTTCGTACGAAAGTTGTTCAAAACAATTTATGTGGCCAGAGATATGAATACTTCATAATCAACCTACATAAGCTTCACCCCAATCTTAAAAAAAAAAGATTGGAGTAAGACAAAGAGAACTCAATCTCGTGAGAGATGAATCATTTTGTTCTTACGAAGTACGTTTCGAGCATCATTGCAATGATCAAAAGTTTTTAAGTGCAAAGGTTGACCTTGTAAGCCTCTTATGATCCACTAACTAAGTTCGAAAGTCGTCTCATTATATAGGCCTAGTTAGTTTTAGCATTTTGAGCTTAGGGACAAGCAAAGTTCAAGTGTGGGATTGTTCAATCACACGTAGAATTGACTATTTTAGACCTCCATATTGTGATCCAAAGTGTATTCATTTCATACCTTTATCATCATAATACCTTGAATTCATGTTATGAATGCTTCAAGTGAGTTTTAGCAACCCTAGGATTGCTTTTAATCGTTTGGTATGCTTTTGGTAGGTTTTATGCATTTACTGGTCAAAGTGGGCTAGTGGACCACTTAGTATCTGAAGGGGACATCGAGATCTAGTTGTTGGAGCTGAGTCGAAGAGAAGACGTGCTTATGGAAATAAGGCCCAAAACGACGACCCATGATCAGAATTGGCATCTCGCTCATATTTTGACATGACACATATACTTCGTCAAACAATTACCTTGGAGCTTCCTAATTCGCTGGCCACGAATTTGGAACTTTCTGATTGGTCGGATGATGCTGTAGCTAAGAGTTTCTATCCCTAGTAAGCCTAATCAAAAGCCTATAAATAGGCCTCTAGAGACAAAAATCGAAGAGGAGGTGATGAGGAGTCAACGAAGGGTCATTACTTTGCCAACAAAGCGAGTCGATTCCAGTGGCTCTTTTGGGACATCATTTCGATCAATGATCATCCAGGTCCCAGGAACCCTTCCCAATGGCTGACTAGTTCCTTTAGTTGCGTAAGTATGTGACCCTAGGGGTTCTGGTTATGTAAACTCAATGAATTGGTTTTAAATATGATTTTTGTATCTTATATGTGTGATGGTTAATTCCCTCTATTTAATCTTTTTTGGATTTTAACGAGAGTCTAGCCGACCTTGCACTCCTTTGAGGTGCAAGGATCGAAATCCAAGTTGCTTAAGATTAGACCAGACATGGCGTTCCTATTTGATCAAACGTCATTCAATCGAACGACTTGAAGCCTCAAGAGATAAATCTGAAGGGTCCTTGTCGCCTATTAGTTCGAGTAAATACTTCGACACAAGGTGGGATCAAATGATCTAAAGAATTAGCAGCTCGTATGTTGCCGATCATCGAGGAACTATAACCAATGAGACCTAGGGGAGCTTGCCTATGCTATGCATGTCCTTCTGAGCTCTCTCATTTTGAAAAACGAAGGCACCTCAACCTCCTATGTTGTTTTCTAAATCAATAGAACCATATCTTGCCACCTGAGTAAGTGGTTTGCAAGAGGCCCTAAGGAATAATGATTCTGGCCTTCGGGCCAGGTAAATTTGATACTCGCTACAAATGACATCAAGTTTGTTTGTAATCATGATAGTGAACCTATGTCCTATATCTATTGATGGTTTATCAAGATTTTTCTTGTGCTTATGTCGAGTATTTGGAATTGGGGGTTCGTGACCTAAAAGAGAGACCATCTAACTAGGTCAAGATTGAGAGCACCTAATAACATGACCATTGGGTTGTAGCTTCATTCGCATAGGATTAAAACCCATTTGGAGGAATCTAGGCTTAGTGTCTAGGTAATAGTTGGTTGCATGACCATTGAGCCAAGTAGTCTACTTGAATTGTATCTAAGTGACATGACCATTGAGCTAAGTGACATGACCATTCCCTTAGATGCTAGCTCAATTGATTCCTTGAAATTTAGAAGATAAGGAAGCCTTCATTTACTTGTATGCAACCCATGTCAACCTATGGCTAGAGGGATTCTACCTAAACAACTACTTATCTTTAGTGATCTCCCTCATACTCTGTTTTGTTTCTATTCTTGTCAGTTTCGTTTAATTCATGTTCAAACCCTTTGTCTCATTGACTAAATAGTAGCTTGAGGCCAAGAGTAGTAGTAGTAATACTAAAGGTCCCATGGAATACCACCTTGGTCACCACTTTACTTCTTCACCAATCTAGGGTACACTTTTTCTAGATTGGAGTAGTTAGTATTGTTGACAAACCAGAGGAAATGAAAGCTATTTTGTAAAGTGTAGATAGATTTACCTGACAATTATAAAATATTTTTTTACATGAAATTTCAATTTGGCCAGGAGTTATTTAGTGTGTTTGCTCTAACATACTCTCTAGAGTTGGGGGGAAGTGCTCCCCTTCATATCTAACCAATAAGGATAGATGAAGATGAACCTGGAGCCTCAATATCTCATCGAATCTACATTTCTTTCATTTAGAGATGTGAACAAAATCGGTTTGCTACTAAAGGTATTCACTTAAAATAGTGATGCTCTCCAGACGCTTCATGCTCTCTGCATAGTTATCTAGATAAATCTCTCTTCACTGCTTGTTTTAGTGTGATGATGTTGTTGTCTATGGAGCTTGTTTTTCTCGGCGTTACCCCTTACTCATAATTTAAGAGAGGCTAGGAGATAAGGCCTAGGTTCGACGTTTGAGGTTGGGTATTTAAACTCTAGATTGTTGAGAAATAGGTCACCCAAGGTGAGTGTCACAATCAGTTTGACAAAGCTCCAAATGTGTTGAGAGAAAAAAAGGATATTTGAGGCTCGAGATAGGGACGGGGAGTGAGTCGGGTTGGTCAAAGTTTGAGTTTGTTAGGATAGGTCAATCGATTTGCAGGGTAAATGTTTAGGATGGCGGCTTGTAATCAATTTGGAAGAGCTTGCTATAGAGGCCTAAGGACCTGTAATGTCAAAAGAGTCGAAGCTCGAAAGCAAATCTTGGTTTGATGCCTTAGAGACAAGAGTCAGGTTGGACCTGACTCGTACATAGGGGAGATTTAGGATGAAAAAACTAGAGATCTGTTAGGTATTGCATTTGATTAACTAAAGAGTTCATAAGAAAAATTGGATCCAACATTCGCCTTAACTACACATCAATAGGTAGGCAATAATACTCGGTAAAATTAGCCAAACGAAGCCCGGAGCCAACGAGTTAATGGTGAATTGTCAAATAAGACGTTAATCAAACACCCTCCTAAAGCTCTACCTTTCTTTCGGCACTAACAATTAACAAACACCACCCACATCTCCACCTTAAGTTCCAGACAAACGCTTATCACTTCCCACCTCCCATCAATAGAATCAGAACAAAAAAACTTGGGAGGGCATAACAGGGCTACAAAAGTAAAAGAAAAATCCTCTTGTCTTCCTCTTCCCCTCTTCCTCTTCCTCTTCCCTGTCTCCCTTTCCCAACACAAAGCCCTCACACCCACATCCACATTTGAGACTGCGACACACACTCTCACACACGGACACGCTTATAAACGGGTCTCTCTGAGTTTGACACAAAACAAACCCACAGCTAGCAACTGGCCCTGCTGATGCTGCTTCTGATCCGTGTCCCATCTCCTCTCCCCATGTCTCACCTCCTGGGTTTCCCTTCCTAAAACTAGAAACTTCTGCTCTTCCCCATTCCAGCAAAGAAAAAGGAAAGAAACACAGAAAGAGAGCAGAAAAATCGGAAGGGTAAGAGTGGTGATGAGCAGTGGCGGTGGTGGCTCGGGAGGAGGGACAGCGATGGGTGGGAGTGGGGAGACGCTGATGAGGTCTGCCTTTACTGTGTCTCAGTGGCAAGAACTCGAACACCAAGCTTTGATCTTCAAGTACATGATGGCTGGTCTCCCTGTCCCTCCTGATCTCGTCTTACCCATTCAGAAGAGCTTCGACTCCATCTCTCACAGATTCTTCAACCATCCCTCTAGTAAGCACTGCGTTCTCGCTCCTCATCCTTACCTTGTTTTGTTCTTCTTCTATCTTTAATGAAAACCCAGAAATCTTCCGGGTTCTTGTTTTTTTATTGCATCTATGTTTTAATCTGATTTCATGAGTGGGTTTATTGAAAAGTTTTCATCTTTGCTTCTTTGGAGTGGATTGATTATTATTTTGGTTGCTGGGGGAGTCTTGTTGAGTAAGGGTAGTTTCTCATTCTCTTGTACTCGCTTTGTTCCTTGGGTTCTCTGGCTTTCTCCGTGTTTGCTTGCCTCCTCTCTTTCACTTTATCCAAAATAGAAGGAAACTAAAGGTCAATCATTACTGTGCTGAAATTAGTTGGCTTTTGAGTGACGGGTTGAGGCTGAGCTGTTTCTTGCTTAGACTTGAATCCAATTAAACAAGATTGGGGAGACAAACAAGATTGGGGACAGGCCTCTGAAGCTTTTTTTAACCCCGACAATAAAGGGTTTCTGGAGAAAGAAACAAAACCATCCTTCTCCAATTGGTTATCTAGGAATACACTGTGTGAAACTTGCTCGTGACTTTTTGCAGAGTTTCCACAGAAGATGGGTTTTCCTACTGTTCTGATACCTTCCTTTGTCTTTTGCCTTTCCTGGTTCATACATGTGAATTAGACCTGGTGTGTGCTTCATAATGAATGCATGTTTGAGCTAGTATTGAGGGGGTGTTTCTTTGTGTGTGTTGAAAATGGGTTATGGTGGTTTGCAGTGGGGTATTGCTCATTCTATGGGAAGAAGGTGGATCCAGAGCCAGGGAGATGCAGGAGGACAGATGGCAAGAAGTGGAGATGCTCCAAAGACGCCCATCCTGACTCCAAGTATTGTGAGCGCCATATGCACCGTGGCCGCAACCGTTCAAGAAAGCCTGTGGAATCATCACAACAACAACAACAAACCATAATGACACAGTCATTGTCTACCATGACACCATCCGGGAGGACTGTGATTACTGACAGCAGCTCTGGCGGGGCAGGAAGCCTACAGCACAACTCTGCATTGCACGCCTTCGGGGCCTTTGGGAATCCCCAGTGCACTGCTGTCAGTGGAAGTAACCAGTCTCAGTATCATTTGGACTCTATCCCCTATGCTATTCCAAGCAAAGATTACAGGTAATCATCCTCTTGCTGTTCCTTGCTTCTCTATTACTTTTGGTAGATGCTAGAAGTACCCCAGCTGTTATGGCATTTTGTTTGCCATATATCTAGGTCATTATCAAAATCTTTATCAGAAGTAAGCAACATACTGTAACCTTCTTCCTAGCATATGACTTCTGGGAGGTGTTGTTGTCCTGCCCTTGATGTTCACCTTTGGGTCTTATTTGTATTAAAATCATTCGGTTGCATATGATCTTTGTTAATGGCCATTTTGGCGGCGAGATGCACAAATTAAGACCTAATGAGATAGATTCATCTCTTTCACCGTCAACGTCCCTCTGGAGTGTGGTAGGATATATTATGTTACTGGAATGAAAAGTAGGTCAGCACCCTCCTGTAGCGACTAGGACGTGCCTAGAGTAGATTATGAAGGAAATGTGCAAAGATGAATCAGTTAGTTAATAGTTATCTTAATCTTACGGCATTTGGCTGGTAAAGGATAACATATGAGAAGGATGAGGCTTCTTTGTTTTGGAGAAGTCAAATGCTGGATATGTATGAAATTTTTTCACATCCTGCAAATGTTTGATGTCTATCGTTTTGTTCCTCAGTTTCATAATATTTTTGCTGTTCAGGTGTTCGTCACCTGTTTAGAAGTTGTTGTTCTTCCTGTCTTTCCAAACTTCTCAAGCTGTTATTCATGCAGTGAAGACACTCATGCAACATCTGGTGTCATTTTCTTGTTTAATGAATTATCTGGTGCCATTTTCTTATGTCCTAATCGTATTTTCGTGGGACCACAAGTGAAGTCTGGTCCCCTTAATCACCACTCCAATAACGTAAATTAGCTGTATGCTTTATAGTTCATGCCACCTCCATACCTTGCAGAGCGCTTAAACTTTATTAGAATTAAAGGGAGCAGATAATTGCGCTCCGAAGTCACTTACTGGATTGATTAAACTTTGATGCATAGATCTTATAAAGTACATGCGTGTCTACACTGTCACTTATTGATAAGTAGGAGCTTGTTCTTGCAGCATATTCCGTTTGCAGTGAAGTTGCAGACATTTGCCTGATTTGTAACTAACAGAGAAAAACCTTCTCCTTTTCCATGATAATATGCTAAGCAGCAGATATCTCCAAGGAGTGAAGGCTGAGGCCGGAGAGCGTGGTTTATACAACGCAGACTCCGCAAGAAACCGAGGTGGTGACTCCTCCACATGGCCTCAGATGCAGCAATCCAGAGTGTTGTCCTTCTCCAAGCCAGCAACAATGAACGACTATTCCCACCAACAGTCATATCTCGGCTGTGACTTCCCCCAATCTGGTGGCGAACCGACAAAACAGGATGGTCAGTCACTACGACCCTTCTTTGACGAGTGGCCCAGAACCCGGGGCGAGTCATGGTCGGGCCTTGAAGATGACCACTCCAACCAGACCTCGTTCTCCACCACCCAGCTCTCCATGTCCATCCCTATGGCTGCTTCCTCTGACATGATCTCCACGAGCTCCCGCTCTTCACCAAGTGAATTTTGAGGTTTTGACTTTATCCCACAAAAAAAGAGAAGACAGAACACTATTGCTGTCTCGAAAAGCTTCAATCTTTGTATGACTGCTCTTGTGTTAATGTTGGTTCCACCATGCGTTTGTTGTCAGGTAACTGATGCTTGGCTCATGGGGACTTTACGTCTGCTGAGGGAATCCTTGTTGTTGTAGAAGAAGAAGAAGAAGAAGGTTGATGTCGACTTGTGATGTTTAATTTATCTCTGTGTCACTTTGTACGTGCCAAAGTTTGAGCTCCGTGAGAGGGAGTAGGCACTCTGCGGGTGTAATCCTTGTGTCATCTGGATTTCGGGTGCGGGTTTTCTTTCCTCAGGCCTCGTGCTGTGTCTGTGCGTAGAAACATTCTCAAACTTTTTCAGGAGGCTCCCTGTCTTTTGTTTCTGTTTAGGCAATAAGTTGGAAGAAGCATGGGAACAAAGGCTTCTTTTTTTTGTGGCAGATAGTGATCCGAAGATAGTGTACCTGTTGCAACACCTTGACAATGTTTGCATTTGATGATCAAATGTAACTGTGATGTTTGTTTGAACTCTGACATGTCTTGTTCTCTGCAACTTCGACATGTTGTGTGAACTTTTTTTTTTTATCGAACTGAAAGAATAGGCTTTAACCCCGTCGTTTTGACTTTAAAAGACTGGATACATCATTTGTTTTGACTTTAGAAGACTAGATACATCATTTTTTTTCCAATGGACTTATCAAGTTGATACGGACCCAGTCATATCATCAACTTTATCAACTATTTCAAACCACCTTCATTCTTGCAAATAGACACTTTAACATGTTTTTTTTCACAATAACTAGACTTCATCATTGGTGGTGAGTACCCTAGGGCCGAATCTGCGATCCGTCGTCTTTAAAATCCAAGACAAATGACATTTTCAAGAAATCGTCCGAAATCGGTGATGGTACCTCTTTGGAATCTGTCAAAAATGGCCCCGGAAATATTCCGCCCGAATCGGTGTTTGATAGACATATTCATCCCTAAAGAATATTCTCAGGCTAAATTCGTGATGTGCAGCCTTCAAAATTAGGGGTGTTCAAACGGTTTGGTTACCGTGGTAACCATTTTAACCAGTACTATTTGGATAATTTGGTTTGGTTAATTTGGATAATTGGTTTGGTTTGGTTAAAGATTTTAGCTTGTTTGGTTTAGGTGGTTTGGTTTGGTTTCAGACACTCCTAACCAGTCAAACCAAATTAACCAGTTAAGTAATTAGTCATATATCTAATATATATTGTATACACATACTCAATACTTTGCATAACCACTCAAGAGTTAAACGTTCATCCTTTTTAGACTCATAAAATATAAAGCTCAATATTGCTCCTATAGTGAATATTTGTATATGTAAAGTGTAGACCACAACATATGGACGCCTAATTTAGATGAATCTCATACATTATGATGGACGAAAACTTGAAAGGAAGTTCCTTTCCAGCCTATGATAATTGCTAAGAGACAAGTCAATTCACACAAACACAATCATTCATTAACCTAAATATTAAACGTCGAGCTAATCGTAAGATAATTGTCTTAGTTTCATGTAATTATATTAAGGGTCAACTATAACTATGTGTTGATTGTTATGTTTTATTCATTATATAAATTGCTAATTGATGCATTAACCGAAATTTTTTCTCACTTAATGATAATGTGATTTTCTATTGGTTAATCTGGTTAACCAATTAACCAAACCGATTAAACTTTAGTTTGGTTAATTTGGTTGTTGTATTAAATTGGACGGTTTGGTTATGATATTGTATTCCATGGTTAATGAAATTTAACCTTATTTGGTTTGGTTATAACCATGGTAACCATTTGAACACCCCTATTCAAAATGTAAGAAAAACGACATTTCAAAAATATCGCCTAAAAATTACGAAATTGCCATCCGCAAACATTCGACCAAATTTTCGCCCAAATCCGCGACCACTAGACTTCATCATTGGTGGAGAGTACCCTAGGGCCAAATCTGCGATTCGTCGCCTTCAAAATCCAAGAAAAATGGTATTTCCAAAAAATCGCTCGAAATCAGTGATGGTACCGCTTTGGAATATGCCAAAAATGCTCCCGGAAATATTCCACCCGAATTAGTGTTTAATAGACTTATTCATCCCTAAATAATAGCCTCCGGCTGAATCCGAGATCTATAGCCTTCGAAATCTAAGGAAAACAGCCTTTCGAAAATATCGCCTAAAAGTTTCGAAAATGCCCTTCGGAAAAATTCGATCAAATTTCCGCCCAAATCCGCGATTACTAGACTTCATCATTGGTGGAGAGTACCCTAGGGCCGAATCTGCGATCCGTCGCCTTCAAAATCCAAGGAAATGTCATTTCCAAAAAATCGCCCGAAATCAGTGATGGTACCCCTTTGCAATATGCCAAAATTGGCCCCGGGAATATTCCGTCCGAATCGGTGTTTAATAGACTTATTCATCCGTAAAGAATAGCCTCAGGCTGAATCCGTGATCTGCAACCATCAAAATCTAAGAAAAACGGCCTTTCGAAAATATCGTCTAAAAATTACGAAAATACCCTCCGGAAAAATTCGACCAAATTTCCGCCCAAATCCGCGATTACTAGACTTCATCAATGGTGGAGAGTACCCTAGGGCCGAATCTGCGATCCGTCACCTTCAAAATCCAAGGAAAATGTAATTTCCAAAAAATCGTCCGAAATCAGTGATGGTACTCCTTTGGAATCTGCCAAAATTGGCTCCGAAAATATTCCGTCCGAGGTAGTATATTGCTAGTAAAAATGTGACCTAATGGAAATCGCTAGCCGAACCGATGACATTAGGTTTCACTTGTAAAGGGACGCATGGTAAGTAGTGGTTGGGCGAGGTAGAGAGGCGCACATCGTGCTCCCAAACAAAATTACAAAGAATGTCGCCTATGTAGCTTGCAATCTTCCTTCTGATTGGACGCGTGAAGGACGAGAATTGGTGCTCCCTATGAGGCATATCGTACGATTGCAACATTACCTACTTTATGACTCGAACTCGGTGGTGACCAAACTCCAAGCCATATGTAATTCTTCAAAATCAACTCTAAATTCCACAGGGGTTATGGAGCAAACACCTAGGTTGCAAGCAAATGCCTCTAAGCAACGTCCATCATGATCACTGATTAGGACACCCAGAACAACGTGGCCTGTGGAATAACAGTGTTGTCTAAATTGAGAGTAACCCACTTGGGAGGCGACAACTGCTACAACATTTTAATCTCCGTTTATGTGGGTAAGGTAGGCGAGTGTATGAGACTGTCCTTATCTAGAGCTATCTACACACTACACTACATTAATCCAAGCCTGGACTCACTCAATGAAGGATTCAAAGGTGAAAGTTTTGTTGGCAAAGACACGGTCCTTTTTGGTCCTTCATGGGAAGAGCATGACTCAATAGAAGAGGTCCTCCATGGGCCAATGAGCCCAGCCCAAGAAGAAAAAGAACGACAACTCCAACAGTCGCCCTACCGCCACTCAAGCCCTAATCTTCTAGAACCCTTGTTCAAGAAGTTATGTGGTCTACAAGGACTAGAAAACCCTTTCCTAGTCGGTTTAGGATAACTTTAACCGAGTTCTTCCCCTTTAAATTGAGGGCATGAATCATTAGCTCATAAGGCCGCACAACCACACAAAAACTTTTGTAAGGTTGCACAACTACACTCAAACTTCTGTATACTATGCTCGAGTAAGAGCTTAGCTTTTGTAGGAGAGTCTGCAGCTAAGGAGATGTTTTCATCATCGATGGTGCTACTCTCTTTCTCTTCTATGTAGCTACTTCAAAATTGATTGTATGAGGATGCAAACTTGTTTATCTTTATGTGAATGAATGCTATGATTTTATTTCATACTTGTGTTTTTCTTTATGAATTTTGATGCTCATTGTGTATGCATGGATGCCTAACTTTTTATGCTTGTGATGATCATTGTTGTTTATTCAGGATGCATACTTCATGGTTGTGAAGTTAACCCCAAAATCGTGATCCTTGCACTGCCATTTGTATAAATTGCAAGCAACCTACTTTGAGGAAGGAGAGTTGGATTTTTTTACCCCAAAACACCCAAGGGGCGATTCTAAAGAACGACTGATCTAGGAGGGTTCTAGGAGCTATTTTGGAGGATCAAATCACCATTGGAGCTAGAATAACATCCCCTATAAGATGATGATGATGGAAGATTCTAAAGCCTATACTGTATTCTCTCTCTTCCTCTCTATGATTTAGCTATTTTCTTAGGTTGATGAACCCTAGTTTTTTTATTATGTGTTGAATGTTGATGCTTGTGACGACCTTATGATTGAGTGCCTCTTTTATCTATTGAATTGATTAATTTTCATGCAATTGATGTATTGTGGATTCCAACCCTCAATTTGAGGCTTTTTGACTTAGGAGGGAAACAATTCCCTTTTGGCCCATTCTTGGCGATTAGGGTCACTCCTTAATCTATGTCATTCTGGGTTAATTCCTGAGGGAGTAGATTCGATCGATCTCTTGACGACATACGATTTCCTTTGATTGAATAGAGCACTACCAATTCACCGCTACGGGGGATTCAAGCTAAGAGAGCTCCACAACTTGTAATTAGCTAGGGTATTGGTTAGGTGAGTTTAGATAGATTAGTTTCTTAATCACTATTCTAGGTTGGCTAGATAACGCAACTTAAGCTGAAGTAAGGTAGATCTAGAGACATGTGCTTCGATAATTTTATTACTTGCTTACCCTATGCTACACCCGATCATTGGTTAAACCTGTCTTTCGATTGGGATGTTGTAGTTAGAGAAAGCCTAAAGACCTCATGGAATACTACCCTAGGCATTCCCAAGATTATCACTCAATTTCTACATAAGAGACTAGAGTCGAATGAGAATTGGGTAAAGTCAGCTTATGCAATTGCGAGCAAACTTAATATCAAGCATACCACTGTGATATGGATAAGATTTGGAGGTGGAGGGTACCAACACGAGTCAACCACTTCTTATGACTAGCTATGCGAGGGAGGCTTCTGGCGAACGAGGAATGAGCATGACACCACATTACCAACAACCCCAACTGCAATATTACACAAAAAATGGTCATGCATGTGTTTTGGGACTGTAAGTTTTACATGTTATCATATCCACCACAATTTGTGACCGAAGTGACACAACAATGTTAGTAGAATATGCATTCCAAAAAAGCTTTATGCGACAATCGGAAAAGTCAAAAGCGAGATAACATTTATAATATTCTCAACTTACAATATGTCTTTTCTCTACCACATCAACAAAAAAACAAACTAACAATTTGCAACCCCACTCTCTCTAGTTTGAAAAAGCCTCTGCCTTCTCTCTAGCTGCTCACTGTGACTTTTTCTAGGGTTGCCGCCGACACCTCTTGGTGATCCATGGGAGTCGATTGATTTTTCATGTTTCCCTGTCTTTTCATCTTGCTTTCTTCTGCGATTTCTGCTAGTTGTGGCCTTTATCACCCTCTGTGGATTTTTTTCCATTTCCCTAAGTGGAAGCGTTCCGCAAGCCTTTCGTCGAAGATGGTTTTGTTCCTTCTAATATGTTTTTTTGTTGTTGCAAATATGTGCTTGTTTGGTGGTCTTTTGATGAGCCAAGATCCTCTTTGGTTCACGGTATGTATCATGATTGATGTGTTCATCCCCTTTGCTTCACCCAAAATGCATGGTGTTTCAGTGGGTTAATAGCCTTCTTTTATATGACTATGAACAATCTTTCATGATTGTTTGATTGCAAGGTTGTCATTCCCATTTTGGTTTCTCTGCTATGAGTTTGGATTATGATGCTTGGGGCGCCTCTTTTAGAGATTTGACGTGGAGGTTCTGCTCCTAGTGGGTGCGTTTATCTTCTCCGGTGAATACATTCACCATCCTCTTCTTCAAATTTCCCCAACGTTCAGCTCCGCTTCATGTCGATGCTCTGGAGATGGTGGCAGCTTTTCCTGTTTATGTCACTCGAATTGCTATAAAATTTCAAGTTTGGTCACCATCCTCTTCTTCAAATTTTTATAATGATGTGTAATTTCCAAAAATTTAATTTTTATTTTTTAATTATTTTTTATTTGCCACGTCACACATTTAACGGTCAACTGTCAGAATTGACCGCCACGTCAGTCAAAGTTAACGGAGGTTAACAGAGAGTGACCGAACTTGAACTGTTCAACTAATTCGAGTGACTATAAATGGAATAAATTAATTTAAGTGGCAAATGTGAAATTTTATAGCAATTCGAGTGACCAAACTTGCAATTAAGCCGTTTCTCATACTTTGTATTTGGGCTTTGGTGTGACTTTCAATCCTTGGTCTATTTTTATTTTTTAATCTGATCCAAATTTTATCTCTTATATTGGTATCAATGGACAAACCGTAAAAGAAAACCAGATCAACAATAGCTGTGAAATACCGCTGTATTGGGGGCAATCGCCGAAAGGCCTAAAAGCCATTGGCGCCTCCCATTTCCCAACCTCCCAACCTCCCACAGCTTTAAAATCAATCACACACACAGATAAATAAAACAATTTCCTTTTCCCAGTTCCAATTTCTGCCAATCTTTCCCTTCCACTTCTGGCGGAGGGTTATAAATAACCACCGCGCAAACTCTCCTTCCCTCCTTGTCTTCTCTCTCTAGAATCGCCATTGAAATCCAATCCAAATCGAACCTCGAATTTTACTCCCTTCCTCTCTCAATTCTCCCTCCTCCTTGTTTTAGATCGTCATTCCGCTTCTCCAGGTACTCCTATCCTCCTCTGTCTCTGCTGCATTATTGTCTCCCCGTCAATCCGCCATGGATCTAGCTTCCTTTCACTTCTAACTTCTCGCCCTTCATTTTTCCTCCCTGAGTTTATTTGTTAGTTTCAATCCGGAGGGAAATCTTGAATCCGCACCGCCGATTTGGCGATAACCGTTCGGCCGACATTGTGCTTTCTCTGAATTTTTGTTTTGTTTTGCTGTATTGCATTTAGCCGAGGTGAGATTGCCGCGGTTCGAGATCTCGAATCAGGAACCTCCTGCTGCTGCTGCTGCTGCGATGACCACGGCCAACGGCGGCGAGGTTCGCTCTCCCGCGGCCAACGGCGGAACCAAGCCGTTCAAGATCTTCGTCGGCTACGATCCGCGCGAAGATCTGGCCTACAAGGTCTGCCGGCACTCCATCCTCAAGAGATCTTCAATCCCCGTCGAGATCCATCCGATCATCCAGTCCGACCTCCGGAAGGGCGGCCTGTACTGGCGGGAGCGGGGCAAGCTGGAGAGCACCGAGTTCTCCTTCTCCCGCTTCCTCACCCCGCACCTGGCCAATTACGACGGCTGGGCCATGTTCGTCGACTGCGATTTCCTCTACCTGGCCGACATCAAGGAGCTCCGCGACCTGGCCGACGATAGGTACGCCATCATGTGCGTCCACCATGACTACACCCCGAAGGAAACCACCAAGATGGATGGCGCCGTCCAGACAGTTTACCCGAGGAAGAACTGGTCCTCCATGGTGCTCTACAACTGCGGGCACCCGAAGAACAAGGTGCTGACCCCGGAAGTTGTGAATAGCCAGACGGGCGCTTACCTCCACAGGTTCCAGTGGCTTGGTGATGGAGAAATTGGGGAAGTGCCCTTTGTTTGGAACTTCTTGGAGGGCCACAACAGGGCTGTGGAAGGTGATCCTTCTACGCTCCCCAAGGCGATTCATTACACCCGCGGAGGGCCGTGGTTCGATGCGTGGAAGAACTGCGAGTTTGCTGACCTTTGGCTCGATGAGATGGAGGAGTACATGAAGGAGACCAAGAAATCAAGTGGGAATTGAGAGAGGTAAAACATTATTATGCTCATCGTATATAGAACAACACTATATTCGTGCTTCATTCTTTTTTTTATGTTGAATTGATTCTTGTATGGAGTTGTAGATCTACGAAAGCTTTGTGTTTCTGTTCGTCTGCAATTACGTAGGGGAAACAGAAATCCTGGCACTGTGGATTGTTAGGGAAGATGGTTTTCATTACGTTGTTTCATTATTCATTGATCAAGTATTTATCCCTACTGCTAGAATTTTATGATACAGTATAGTTACAATATCTGTGTGTATACCCAGAACTGTTGGTTAGCTGTGTGTGATTATTTATCTGATTTTCTGCTAAAAGGGTTCTGTTCTATGGAAATTAGAGGATCCCTATGTTATGATTAGGGGCGGTTGTTGCCTCTCTTGTGGAATTTGCAGCTATTCATTTACCTGTGCTTATAAGCATCTGAAAGAACTATCAAAAAGTTGGAAACTTGTTCATGTCAGTATCCTCCGAGAAACAGAAATCATGTTTTTTTCTTTCTTTTTTTGCCTTTAGAGAATCTAAACCAGCTTGGACATAACCATAAAAAAAACCCAGCTGGGAAATGACCATGTGAGAGCTTACCGTTTTATTAATTGGTTGAGGAGGGTGTAGGGTGGTTGAGACTAAATGGTTTATGGTATCGTATCGGAATCGAATTTGATTCTGTGGTCGTTTAAGTTCTTACGTTCCTCAATATTGGCTTTTGTTGAGGTGGGGATTTGCGGCATCGTTGGACATTTTAGGCCTCTGGTTCTGGCCTTCTGCTTTGCTTTGAACGCAACGCATTATGATTACAAATCCGATTTACGTGCACAATCTGGTAGGGGACGAAATCGATGAGAAGAACATCTGAAAAATAGAATGATGAAACCTATGCGGTTGATTGAACAGCTTCTATCCCCCCTGCTCTTTTTGGAAATGTTGAAAGTCTATGCGGACGCTGCAGCATTGGTTTTGGTATTGTCGGTGCAACGCAAGTGACAGCTGAGCTGGCTCACTCCATCTCATCGCATCTTTCTGGCACATGCCGTTACAGCTTTCGTTCCATCTGCGCTGGAAAGATCCTATTGGATTAGATGCTTTTGGTTTAGGAGGAGTGAAAGAGGAGGATTAAACACATGTCATTGGTCTGTAAGTTTGGTATCCATATTTAGGATATATCGAATATCGTATCGAATTTATCATTGTTTGATATTAACGAATACCGATTTATTTTTTATAGATTGAGATTGGGATACATTTTCGAGTGTTATTTGATATTGTCGATTACAAGATTGGGATCGGTATGATACCCAAATATCGACAAAACCAAAAATTTAAAATTAATGACATTTAGCACACATCCATGTGTTATTCCTCCCTCTTTGACAACTCAAAAACCCCATCCAATTCAATTTCAACTTTTTAGTTTAAGTCATTAGTCTCTCGCTCGATCTTTTGTTTTTTCATAATGGAGGTACAAAATTGGCGGAAGTGAGGCAATTTAGAGTGGGAAACATGTCCTAATATAAAGTTCCAAAGATAAAAAAAAAAATATGTCCTAGCAGCAGTGATAATATAGGTTTACCATCTACTTCTAGATGATAAAGAGCATTGAAGAGTCTAGCAGAAGTAGAACTAGTCATTCTCTTTAGCTCTAGGTCCTGTATGTGACAAAAGTCAGAATAGAAGGTCAAGTAAAGGGATTTTTTGGTGGTAAGCTTGCTGACTGAGACAAGTTTGAAGGTAAAAAATGAGGAACAAATAAGACTTCCTCAAGGGTAAGAAGTGAGCTGCACTTTGCAGTTCCAATATGAGTGGCTTGTATTTTCTCTCCAGTAGGCAATGTAATGTAGATATTGTCAATGCTTCTGTAATTAGTTAGGTAATCTAGAGAGCAGGTAATGTGATCTAAAGCACCAGTATCAAGAATCCAATCTTTAGAAGTCTTAGTATTTTCAAGCTTGGTAGGAATAGAACAAAGGTATTTACCTGAACTTCCTGAGTTGGAGACATAAGCAGCTACAATGAATAAAGAGCCTTGAGATTTTTGGTTGTGCATTAAGCTCATCAACTTATCATAGTCTGCTTTGTTAGGCTTTACCTTGTGCTCTCCATTCTCAGCAACTGCGTAGTTGGCATATTGCCTATGTCTGGCTCCAGAATTGGAAGGATTCTTGGGTCTAGCATTTTGGGGAAATCCATGTTTCTGGAAGCATCTATCTTATGAATTTCCATGTCTCTTATAGAATGTGCATTCCAGAATCCTTACTTGTGGAGCAGAGGTTCTTGGAGTCATCTCCAAACAATACTCGAGCTCTCACTCTAGCAAAGTTTTCATTCAAACCTCCAAGGAATTTAATGAAAAAAATTTGTGTCATGGTACTCTAACACCTTCTTCATAGCCCTACTGTCTCTGTGACTAGCAGGTGTGCATTCACAAGGCAGTAAGGCTTGATAATTATCTAATTTGTCCTTCAAAGTAATCACTTTGCCATAGTACTCAGTAATGGTCTGATTACCTTGTTGGAGGTTTGATAGAGCTTCTTCTAACTCTGCAACTCTGATAATATCTACATATCCGTATATGGACTACAAACTTTTCCAAGCATTTGCGACAGTTTTGCTGGAGAGGATGGTCTTTCTGATTTCTAAGCCGAATGCTTGTTGAATCCAGCTAAGGATCATGATATTGTTCCTCACCCAGGCTCCATGAAGTGGATTTGTTAGCTCCGACTCAGCAAGAACACCATTAATAAAACCAAACTTGTTCTTAGCATCTAAGGCTTTGTACGTAGCCCTGTTCCAATCGTTGTAATTAGTCGTGCTGAGTTTTTCTCCCACTAAAAAAGGACTAGGATGCTCAGATCCATGTAAGAAAAATGGATCTTCCATCTAGTAGACGTTTGGTTAAGGTTGTGGTTGTGGTTGTGGTTGGGGTTGTGGCTGAGGTCGTTAGCATTCACTTATATATTATCATTGTTCCCTTCCATGGTGGCGGCGACAAGATATTTAAATTAGTAAACCAGACCCTGATACCATACCAAATATTTTATGAGAAGTGAAACCCTTAGGCTTGAGCCTTTCACTTTGACCCATTATGTTCTTATATACAACAAACCTCCAAGGAATTTAATGACATAATTTGTGTCATGGTACTCTAACACCTTCTTCATAGCCCTACTGTCTCTGTGACTAGCAGGTGTGCATTCACAAGGCAGTAAGGCTTGATAATTATCTAATTCGTCCTTCAAAGTAATCACTTTGCCATAGTACTCAGTAATGGTCTGATTACCTTGTTGGAGGTTTGATAGAGCTTCTTCTAACTCTGCAACTCTGATAATATCTACATATCCGTATATGAACTACAAACTTTTCCAAGCATTTGCGACAGTTTTGGTGGAGAGGATGGTCTTTCTGATTTCTAAGCCGAGTGCTTGTTGAATCCAGCTAAGGATCATGATATTGTTCCTCACCCAGGCTCCATGAAGTGGATTTGTTAGCTCCGACTCAGCAAGAACACCATTAATAAAACCAAACTTGTTCTTAGCATCTAAGGCTTTGTACGTAGCCATGTTCCAATCGTTGTAACTAGTCGTGCTGAGTTTTTCTCCCACTAAAAAAGGACTAGGCTGCTCAGATCCATGCAAGAAAAATGGATCTTCCATATAGTAGACGTTTGGTTGAGGCTGTGATTGTGGTTGTGGTTGGGGTTGTGGCTGAGGTCGTTAGCATTCACTTATGTATTATCATTGTTCCCTTCCATGGTGGCGGCGACAAGAGACCTAAGTTAATAAACTAGACTCTGATACCATACCAAACTTTATGAGAAGTGAAACCCTAAGGCTTGAACCTTTCACTTTGATCCATTATGTTCTTATATACAACTGATTACAGAAACAGACAAGAAAACTACTTCCGGCCGGCTACAACACTTGTTTGTTTGCTTGGAAAGGAAACAAGAACAAACTTGGTGGGAATAGAAACCGATTGTTGCAAATAGTAAAAAGGCGGTGCTTTTAGTTGGTGTTTTGGCAAAATGCAGCATTTCATCAAGTTGAATTATCCATGTCTTCTTCTTCCAAATATGGTGCTCAAGTCTAGTGATTTTGGCAAAACAAAATATGACAATATGAGATATTATGCTGCTAAAATTCCTTATTCAAGTTTCTCTAATGACAATCTACAATTCCCATAAGCTTATGGATCACGATTATTATTTTATTCTGTTAAAAATCAACTAATTTTTTATGGTCGCTTCTGATGATGTAAAATAAGAAGGCCTGAAATATACTAGTTTCTTTACATGGAAAACGTTCTCGTAAACAACTGCTTTGTATTGCACTGGTTCCAGGTCCAAATGAGGTGGCGATGCCGTCAATACGAGCTCGTAGCTCTTGCCGCCGGCCACTACTTGCACTACGCCTCTCCTCACCGTTATGAGTTCCAGCGAATGACCGATTTGCCAACTATAAGTTTTCACTGCAAACTCAGCAATCTCCAGGACATGCTCATCGTTCACATTTTCTATTGGCCGCCACCCACCAGTCGCTGTGGCATCAGACAGGAAGAATGAAAGTGTAGCTATGGTGATAAGAAAAGAAATTGCCTTCATTGTCTTCACAAGTGATTCTTAATATTTTAAAATATTTTTTTGCTGCAGTTATGTTGTAAACTTATGTGAGGCGAGACTAATTGTGGTTGTATTTATATGCTACGTCGGTATATAATTGTAACGATAGTGTATCGCGGGAGGAAAAGTTAGAAGGCTAACTTCGAAAGAATTATATAAATTAGGTAAATAATTATCTATTCTTTAGCCTATTAAATCTCATTTTCTATGAATATCGAATCTCTCCTTTCCTTTCGATTGTTTGTTGTATTCTAATTAAAGTATTGAATGTTAGTTATTCGATTTTTCATTTACTATCTAAGGTTTTCAATTATAGATTTAGTTAGGATAGAGTAAGATGTAAGAATTTTTAGAATTTAATTGTGAGTTCGGAAAGCTTTATTGATTATGTGATAATCAATATTTATTATTAAAGCTCATAATACTTTTTAGAAATCGAGGCGATATCAGGTGCTAAATAAAGGTGACTTTTGGTACTTTATTGGGTCTAATTCGGACTTTAAATATTTTATACAGAAAAAAAAAAGATTTACTATGTTATACAAGATAACCTGTACTATGATATAGTTTTTAGCAAATTAGATCACACTCGTACGCCTTTACAAATTTCATACACTTGTATGATGCGTACAAAAATTTTATATACAGATTTTCTTGTACAACTTGTACAAAAAATTACGCAAAAAATGTACTGAATTTATTTTTCTAGTACATGTATATAAAAATATGTAATTATTGTAAAAAAAAGTGTATTGTCCGACAAGAAATTTAGTACATCCTTGTTGTACTGGAAATTTGTACTCGTTGTACAAGTAAATTTGCACACTTTTCATATAAACTTTTTACATCATTATGGCACAAAATATGTATCACTCTATAAGTACATGAGCGCTTTTTGCATAAAACAATCATGTACTGATTTTACAGAAAGTCGTGTATACATGGCACAAAATATGTATCACTCTATAAGGGCACGATCGTGATGTTGGAGGCTCCAGTCGTGAACTTCATGAAGGAGCCAACCTGGGAGAAGAAGAGATATTTGCGAGTCAAATAATAGTCCTCGCCTTCCCATTTCGCGAGAAAAATCAAGGTCTCGACTCAAGCATTGCGACCGTGAAGTCAGTCCCCGCTCCCTTAGACGAGGAGCAAAAAGGCAGCGCTTGAAGATCGTGGCCTCGCCCCATAAATTCACGGCCACAAACTTTGACCCTACAACTGTGAACCTTGAAATCATCACGGTCGTAACGTGCAACCGTGAACTTTGCACTTTCAGGCTATATAAAGGAGCATAAATCATAATTCAAAGGGAGGAGTCTAGAGCGAGAAAGTGCATATGCTGGATAGAGAGAGAAACGACGAAAGGAGATCCCTAGTTTGGGAATTGGAGTTTCAAATCGCCATTAAATTTCAAATCCATCACCTAGGGTTGAAGATCAAGCTGGAAGAAGAAGAACCCAACCTTCAAGGATGGTTTCTTCTCTTGATTTGATGTATTTCTCTCTCTCTCTCTCTCTCTCTCTCTCGTCATGAGCTAAACTTTCTATCAGGTGGTTTTTGTGGAATTCTAGTTGTATGTGTTAGATTAGATGAATGATCAATTTTCGTGTTTGATTGAATCTTGCTTATACATGGATTGAGGTATTTCATGAATAGTGTTGGGTGTTGATCAAATCCTCTCAATTGTGACTATTAACCTAGGGTAGATAATATCTAATCAGGTTAATTAGAACACTTACCTCGTTCTCCATTGATTGTTTGAGGGACCGAGCACGAAATCGAGAATCAATGTTGCATTGGATCATATTCCGGTAGAGGGAATCTAAGTTGCACCTCCTAGACGTTCTATTTTGTTGGTTGTGAAAACACCCCCTTTGAATAGTTCGTTCTAGGTGATATTCAGTAACTCAAAAGGGAGCTTAACTGGGAATAGGATTGTCTTCGTTTTAAATCATGAGTTGAAAAACCTGGAACATCATTCGTCAGTCTATTTTGCAACTAGATGGATACAACACCCCAGTTGCTTTCTGACTATAGTTTTCAACCAAACTTTCATTTGCTTTGTGTAGTAGTTCATTAGTTAATTCAAACATCGATTTACTGGACAACAAGTTAGTCCACGAAGTAATGGTACATTTGCATTTGCTGCATTAAAATTCACTTCCACTATATTGCACCGACTGTGGTTGCACTTGGCCACGGTTGGTATGTTAGTTACAGTTGGAACGAGTTAAGTTTTTGGCACCGTTGCTCGGGAACACGACAAGTTATTAAGAAAAGTGGACTACTTGTTACTCAGTTTTGTTTGTTTGCGTTTGTTTGTTCATGAGTTGTGTTACAGGTGTATGACCCGAAGCAACCCGAGAGGTTTGCACCTGATCGAGCACAACATCAACCGGACCGTGTGGCTTCTTGCAAAGGAAAGAGAAGTAGGTGAGACTCGCGAGAGGCTATTCACTCACAACCTCCCGAATCAAGAAGAAGAATCAGCTGAAGTTCAAGTTGAAGCCATGGCGGCAGATAATCAAGTGAACAACAATGGCAACAATGAGGAGGAACCAACGAGAACAATGCGGTACTAATTCACCCCAAGACTCGAGGACATCTAACCAAGCATCCGACATCCTCCCATTGTCGCCAACAACTTCGAGATCAAGACGAGCCTTATCTTTATGACCCAGAGCAACATCCATGGGTCGCTGGCATGAGTCATTTGACTAAATTTAGACATTTGAGAAATGTAGACATTGAGAATATAGACATTTGCAAATGTATTGTTTGTTTACAAGTTTTAAGATCAATCATTCTTGAATGAGTCATTTGTATGATATTACCATTTTTTTCTTACATTAACTAATGTTTCAGTATCTTCTTTCTTATCCTAATAAAACTAATCGGGTAAACATAATCATTTTCAACCAAAAAAGATATTATTACAAGCCATATATAATACTACATTTATAATTTTAAATAATAACAGAATAATGATTTTTTATAAAATATAACGGCTTCAGAAGTCTCAAATTCGGGCTAATTACAAATAGTCATGGTGAATGCCCTGCAGATGGTGATGTTTGTGAAAGGAAACAAATGTGTTTCTAAGTAGATGATCGATGAGAGAAAGGTTTCGATCTAGTTTGGTAACGAATGAAGAAGAAAGCTATAGTGACACAACTAGATTAAATGAAGAAACCTTGATGGAGATGAGATGAATGACACCCTTCGTCACTGATCGTGCTCCGGTGCTTGATTGAGCTTTAAATTTATAAAGTCCAAGCACGCTCTCCAATCAATCCTAACTAAGCCAAGTATAACCTATCTAGGGTTATAGTAAAGTGGCTCGATCATATTCCAAGAGATCCCTAAGTGTATTATACTTCACTCCGAACTACTATCTAATCGGGGTGGAAGTTTGGTGAGGGGTTTTAGCTAAATTAACCTACTCCTAAGGCAAAACAAACAACCAACCAAGTGGTTGGGAGGACGCTAGAGATGAGATGGTTGCCTAGGGTCGAATCCTCCTAGCTAAGGTTGTAAAGTAGGGTTAATCGAATGTGGTGAGTGAGCTCTTTTCCATGGCTTTCATGGTTATCTACACGCCTCCGAGTACGCCTCTCCTAAACCCATGTTCCAGTCACCTCGATCTAGGCTATCATATCTGGGACATTAAGCTTATGGCTCATTTCAATGGACACTATCCACCGTCCACACCGAGGTTTCATCCCAGGTTTCATCTAGGAAGACTAGCTATAGCAGGGGTTTGGTCGCCTCGACCACTATAGGCCCCATCCACACATCTAATCCAAACTCGCCAGATGACGCATACCCGTCTAACCCTATAACTCCATACCCAGCGTGGTAGCATAAAGTAGGCTAAGAGGGAAGATTAGTGCGACTTGCCCAAGCATCGTCATTAGGAAGGAGTGTCATTAAAATAAACTAGACAAAAACATTCATTCATTCAAAACCCAAACATTCACAACCTATAATTATGGTTCATCTACCCTAAACAACCACTAGAGATTCAAGTCATTAGAGAGAAGAAGAAAATACAAACTAGAACAGGGGAATGATGGAATCAAGCTTCTTCTCCTTGCTCCTTGGATTGAATGGATCTTCAATGAACCTCTCCCAAGGTGTTTCGCTCTCTAAAGCACTCCAAAATCCTAATTTTGTTACCCCAAGACGGCTCTCCTTTTTCACTCCAGCAGCTCTTCTATATATAGGCGCTGGAAATCTCGGGCAAGTTTGCAGTCTGAAGAAGGGAAATCACGGCCGCGAACCACCGCATCGTGGGCGTTATCTTTTTCCTTGGTCAAAAACTACGCTGCTCGCGAAAAGAGTGGGGAAACTCTCTATTCTCCCAACGATGTCCTTTCCAGAGTTCGCGGCCAGCGTGCTCAACTTTGCAGCCGCGGTCTTCTGGCCTCGGCCTGCGATCTGCTGGCAGGTTCGCAATCTATCTTCACGGTCGGGAACTTGGGTCCTTCGGCTGCGATCTTTGCCCTGTCTGGTCCTTCTGCTTGGTTCTACACATTCTTGTCCATCCCAAAATAACATCATAAACGAAAAGAAACGAAATGAGCATGTAAATGACATTTTGTAAAACAATTGGAGATCATTTTAATACAATTTCACCTACTAAGGGCAAGGTAAATAACACCATTTTGGTGTTATCAGTCGCTTGTGAAATTTGGGAGAAAACATTACTGGTGGAGACAAGGTAATGATTAGGGAAACAATCAAACAAATGATAAAAACAGAAGGATAGAAGTGTGAGTATGAAAAAGTGGCAGTGATATAATTAAAAAGTTTTGGCTAAATAACTAGTCATTTGCAAATGACTAAATAGAGTCATTTGCGACTTTCGTCTGAACGAAATGACTCATGCATTCCCTCCCCCCCCCCCCCCCCCCCCACCACCAAATGACTCAAGCAAACGACCCCATGTCCCACGGAATCAACCATGGGGCTCTAAGAGACCACATCAATCGGTTCTTGGAATTCACAGATGGGATTAAGATGAACAGGGTACCTTAAGAGGCGCTTCGCCTAAGATTTTTTTCGTATTCATTGAGTGGAAGAGCAAGACTATGGCTTAACAACCAAGCTCCTTTGTCCATAACTTCTTGGGATGATCTCATGGGGAAGTTCATGGCTAGATAGTTCCCACCATCGAAGACTGCTGAACTTCGAAAGGCAATTACACACTTTGCTTAGCAAGATGATAAGACTCTCCGAGATGCTTGGGAAAGATACAGTAGGAATGAGTCAATATCTCAAGGAATCAATGCAAATGTGAGAGGATAACTTGAACCTGATCATACTATCTATGAGCAATGTTGGGATGCATGCTATCATGACCACATAGATGAGTTGGAGGCAACTCGAGCTTGGAGAGCATATATAGATGTATAACAAAGGGCTCTAGCGGAGGAGCAGAGGCGTAGCTTTGAAGAATTACAAATGCGAAAAGATTGGATGCAAGACCCCAATCAGAAGTTTGACAACTTCTTTTCTAGTGAGATTCAAGAGATTAAATGACGATTAGAGAGGGGAATGGACCACCAACACCAAGACAAAATTTCTTACTAGCGTGGGAGATTTGGATTCATGTTTTTGGTGCTCGTGATGAAGAAGATGGAAAATAGGAAGAAGAAGTTGACGGCGCAAGGAGAAATATTTCTTGGGGTTTTCTTGAATTTAATATTTTTTCAATTAAACATTTTTAGCCACCTAGTGAGTTAAGAAAAATGTCACTGAATCCTTTATCAAGAGTCTAGTCAACAACCTTGTTTTTTTAGGGAAACCTATATTAATTTATTGATCAGTAGAATCAGAGTTTCCAAACAAGTCCTCTCTAAGAATAGGTACAATGAAAATAGGTGGATTATCAACCCAAATCTCTTCCTCATCCCAATGGCATTCAACCTGGGCCATAGCATGGGCTACTTGATTCTTTCCTCGGCCTGTAAAGTTCCAAATTACTTTCACCAACTCTTGGGCCTGAGCCCGTAACGCGGCACAAAGGCAGCCCAGCTCCGTTCATCCCTCTTATTCCCTGCGTATCGCCTGAATCACCCCCAAACAATCTGACTCTATTTCCACTTCCAACCAACCGAATCTCCTTGCCAATTCCAATCCACACTCAATCTCCTTCACCTCCGCCAGCTCCGCCTCCCACTGGATCTGCGACTGTTTCAGCCTGCAAGCAGGCATAGCCCTTCTTCATCGTGAACCACTACACCCCAACCCGTTCCTCGACCTTCAAAACATGCCGCGTCGACATTTATCTTCACCGGCGTCAGATGCGGTGGTCGCCATCTTTGATCTGTTTCCCCAACCAGAATCTGAGGGCGAATTTGCTTCTCCGGGTAATCGTTTAACAATTCTGCTACTCTGGGCATGATTTCCCACTCCTCTAACTTCTTCTTGTTCCAAAGTTGGCAGTTTCGCTGATCCCAGATGAACCACAGCGCAACGAGGAAAGCTCATAATGTCTCCTCCGATTCCACTTCCTGGAGTTCGCATAACCATTCTTCTAAGGTAAGATTCTCTCCTTTCTCGAACAAGTTCCTCAATTTACTGCTTCGCCCCACCCTTCTAGCCCAGCTACACTCCCTGAGCACATGTTCTTAGGTTTCTCTTAGATCACAGAATGGGCATCCTTCACTGCCTTGTTGGGTTATATCCAAAACCTTTGCACCTGTAGGTAGAATATTTCTTAGCCAGCGCCACCCGAAAACCTTGACTTTAGGTGGGATTCTTAATCCCCACACCTTTTTCCAATTCACAGGCGAGTAGATTTCCCCCTCTTCTGCTTCAAATCTGGTTTCCCACAGGCGATATGCCGATTTAACTTTATATTCACCCGATTTTTCCTTGCTCCAAATTTTCTTATCTTCAATACCTTGTCGTGGGATTGGTATTCGTTGTATGTTGATTCGATCAGTATGGTTGAAATGTTGTTGTAGAAGATCACTCCTCCACGTGCCTTCTTCCTGGTTGATTAATTCTGCAACTGAGGTAGAAGCTCCCAGCACTGTGCTTGGAGAAGTAACCTTCAGATTTTCACTCGAGGGAACCCACTTATCCAACCATATGTCGATCATATTCCCATTCCCAACCCTCCATCTCATTCCTCGACTAACCAGATCCTTAGCCGCCATCAACCCCCTCCAAACCCAACTAGGGTTTCGTCCCACCTCAGCCTCCAATGGTTCTCTATTTTGGAAGTATTTGGCTTTAAACACTCTCGCTACCAGAGTATGTGGGTGCTGAGCAATTCTCTAGAGTTGTTTGCCTAGAAGGGCTAGATTAAAACTCTGCAGGTTCCTGAATCCCAGACCTCCAACCTTTTTAGGTTTACACAATTCTTTCCAGCTTAGCCAGTGAGTCTTGGACTACTCTTGCTATTGTCCCCACCAAAAGGTTGAGATAGCACGCTTTATCTCCATCAAAATGTTTGCTGGTATCAAGAAAACTGACATTGCATATGTCAGTTGAGATTGTGTCACTGATTTTATAAGTACTTCCTTCCCTCCAATCGATAACAGCTATCCTTTCCACATTTTCACCTTTGAGCGTACCCTGTCGACCAAATGTCCAAATACCTGTTTTTTCGAACGTCCAATTATTGTTGGCAAACCCAGGTACTTTTCATGATGATCCAAACACCTCATATTAAGAACTCCTGCCAGCTCCCTTCTCTTATCCTGCTTTATGTTAGGGTTGAAAGAGAGTTTCGATTTGAAATTGACCTGATGCCCCGACTCTGCTTCATAAAGAGTGAGGATGTCTCTAGTCCTCTCACACTCTTGCTCTATTTGCTCTAGCAAATAGAATACTGTAATCTGCAAACAATAGGTGTGAAATTTGTGGAGCATTGTGCTTCACTCTTATCCCTTCAATCTTCTTTTCTTGTTCTACTTTAGAAATTAGTGCTGAAAGCCCCTCCACTACAAAAAGAAACATATATGGAGAAATAGGGTCCCCTTGCTTTAAACCCCTACTGGGATAAAAAACTTCAGTCTGATGCCCATTGACTAGTGTCGAGAAAGACACTGTGGTGACGCAGGTCATTATCATTTGTACCCATCTTGCTTCGAATCCCAGCTGCAGCATTATTGCCTCTAAGAAGTCCCACTCTACCCTGTCATACGCCTTGGTGATGTCCAATTTTGCTGCCACAAAACCCTTGTTACCAGTTTTGCGGGTCTTCATTGAGTGAAAACACTCAAAAGCAATCATGACGTTGTCAGTTATGAGTCTTCCTGATACAAAGCGCTCTGATTAGGGACAATGATCTCGTTTAGGATACCTTTCAGTCTATTAGCCAATACTTTGGAAAGAATCTTGTATAGAACCTTGCATAGACTAATAGGCCGAAAGTCAACTGGGGTCTGAGGCTTCTTTTTCTTTGGTATCAATGCAATCAGAGTATGATTAAGTTCTTTGGGGAAACTACCTTCCTCCAGATACCCTTGTAACTCTGTCATGACTGCATCACCCACAATATCCCAATTCTTTTGAAAGAATAGGGCTGGTATCCCGTCTGCTCCAGGGGCTTTTAGAGGCCCGATCACTTTCAAGGCTGCCTATATCTCCTCTCGGGTGAAAGGTTTGAGTAATTCATCATTCATGGCAGCTGTAACCTTTCTTGGTACTGCTCAATCACACTATTCGAGTTTGCACGGTTCCCAGAAGTGTATAACTTCTTAAAGAACTGAACAATGCAATCTGCCACCTCCTGTTGTCCTTTACATATTCTGCCATCTTCATGTGTGAGCCTCCTTATCATATTCTTTGTTTTTCTCTCTATGCTCGTCGATGGAAGTATTTGGTATTTTTGTCGCCATGTTAGTTAACAACCTTATTTGGACAATTTTATAGACGCGTAACTCTGAGTGTAGTAGGCAAGTGTAACCTTTCCGTCAAATTTAACGGAACTTTTTAATAAAATTGCTATATTTGTCAATATAAAAAAATTTGGCTATGATTATCCAAAGGGTGAAAGATTTGGCTCTAGAATTGTATTTTGCCTTTGATTTTGTACCATTTCTTTCGCAGAAACTCACCCCTCGGTTTCAATCTGGAAAATTTCTCCCCAGGGTAAAATAGAGCAATGGGTTGCGTCGCCTAATCTCGCCGGCCAGTCAGGGATCCTTGGGTAAAACGAATCAACGGGTGCGGAAGTACCGGCGGAAATAACTCGAAAGCGCAAGGAAATGGATCAACAGCAGCAACAGCAATTGCTCTTGCAGCAACAGCAACAGCAACAACAACAATTTCTGTTGTTGCAGCAATTGCAGAAGCAAGCTCAACATCAGCATCAACAGCAGCAACAGCAACAGCAACATCAACAGCAACAAGCGTCTGCGATCTCCCGATTTCCGTCCAACATCGACGTCCATCTCCGCCCCTCGGGCCTCCATCGCCAGCTCAATCTGCAGCACCCCAATCCAAACCCTAACCCTAATTCCAATTTGCAACAACAGCAGCAGCAGCAGCAGCAATCGCAGGGCTCTAATTTGGGCCAAAATATGCAGCAATCCTCTCATCAACAGCAGCAATCGCCTGGGCAACAGCAGCAACAGAAAGCGATCCGGCCGCCTGTCAACCAGGTGGAGCTGCAAATGGCGTATCAGGACGCATGGCGGGTCTGCCACCCGGACTTCAAGCGCCCATTTGCCTCCCTTGAAGATGCCTGCGAGAGGTTTGTCCTCATCCTCTTCGGTAGATACGAAAATTTGTCAACTTGGGGCTCCTTTGAACTTTTCGTGCGATGTTTGCTTGCTATTGCTGATTTATCTCCTGATGCGTTTAATTATGGCAGAAAAAGAAAAAGTTGTCGTGACTACACGTGGGTATTTGCGAAATAGAGTATCTATAAGATGACTTTGAACTTGGCTCGCTTTCATGCCAATTTCAGTTTATCAATAAGTAATAACGGCACTGTGGGTTGTGGCATTATCCATAATAAGATGTGCTCACAGCTCACTGGTAATCAGTTTTGTGATGCAAGTTCTCCATATGCGTCAGATCACTCTGACGTCTCAAGATGGAAAATCTTTGATGAATGGTCTTGCCGCATGACTAAGTGATGATTATGAACCCTTTTGATTTTGGCTTACCTTTCCATCTAATCTAAACACTGATGGTTTAAAGAAATTCTGTAGTTCAGCTTTCTCTAACTGGTGCAAACGAATAGGCGTCAGTGTGCCTCCAGGCATGTCGGCATGCTAAGTTGCTTTTGATGCAGGTCTTTTACCTGCTATCTTTGTGTTCCAACCTTCACACTCTCTTCCCTCTTGGTGGGGGAGAAAATTGGGAATGGGAAGGAAAATTTAGAGGGTTGTGAAAATTTGAGGGTAGTGAAATAATGGGGGAAAGTGGTGTTCAATTTTGAAAGGGAAAAGAAACACAATAAGAGCAAATTTTGTCTTGACTCCAAATCGGGGGCAATTGTTATAATATATTTTCCTCTCAAATAAGCACTCCCTGTAGCAAAACTTATGAATAAGAGAGTTCTTAATTCCTTATTAATTCCTTCAATTCCCCCAATTTTTACCCTACCCTCTATTTTCCCGCCTTCACGGAACTTACAAATTGTAGAGGAGAATGTGGAGACACAGAAATCTGACAAAATTGTCAGCTTGTCATTGGGATTCATGATCTGCCACCGTGCCCAACATTCTTTGTAGGATTTCGAGGCTTATCTTCTTTCTTTCAGGAGATGTATATTTGGGGAAGTGGTTATCGAGTCTCTTATTTGTTTGATCTATGCTTATCAGATTCTGTGGTTCAGTTGGTACTTGGAGACAAAATTTCAGTAAACCTACATTATGATGTTGGCCTAGGAGTTCTCACCACTTGTCAGTTTGATAGCCGTGCTTAGACTATTGAGTTGGCTTGGGATGTGATCATTAGTCTAACGTGCATGTGGATATTCAGTTATTCACGTATTGGCTTTTGATTCCCCTCCTGAAGGATGCAAATTTCTTGCATTCTGATGTTGAGCTTCGAGGTATTCCACTTGTCAGTTAGGTAACAGAGTGTAGAATCGTAGTTCCCCTAGGATGTGATCATTACTCTTTACATCGCATCTGGTAGCCTCAGATTGGGTTTTTATTCCCCTCATGCACTGACCTTTGAGCAGTTTCCTAACTTTGTAAGAAAGGGATCTGTCGATCTAAAAGCCAATGGCCTTAGCTCCATTGCGACACATGGTTGGAGAATTAGCTTTGTGTAGATTTCCCATTGAAATGTAAAGTCTATTGGCATGAAGGAGTATGCTGTTATGCAGCGAACTTATTTGTAGAAAACAAGGTGGAAAGTGTTCTTCGGTAAAATGGCTGCAACATTTGAGGTCTTATATTGAAGTGTCTAAGTTTATGATGATACGTTCACTGGTCTTGTACTACGTGTCTTAAATGTTGCAAAAGAAGAGTCCCGAGCCATTAGAGCGGTCTAGAAACAGAGCTAATTTTTAGGTTCAGCATGATATGCAGCTGAACCCAACTACATCATGAGCTGATAAAGTGGCTCTGAGAACTTGATCTCTGACTATCTAGTCCGTGGAATGTTTGGATATACTATAATACCTGTGATTCTGGTAAACATTACAGTCATGTAGTCGTTCTTGAGTCTCCCATATTTGTCTTTGCAGTTTCCAAAATAATTCACCCATTTTGAGACAACATTGCAGGTTGCTACCGTACCATGTTGTAGCGGACTATGAAGCAGAGGAGGATGACAGAATCCTTGATTCCGACTCTACCGGCTCAATGCCATCTCGATCTCAGCAGTGGGACTACAACATTGCTGCAAAAGTTGCAGAATTCACCGGCACATTCGAGAAGCAGGCACTAGCTTTCAACATAATCACCCGGAAGCGAGCCATGGGTGAGTTCCGTTCAGAAGAGAGGCTGATGATCGAACAGGCTCTCCTCCAAGAAGAAAAAAGAATGCTGCTGGAGACCAAAGCGGAACTGGAAGCTAGGGAGAAGGCCCACCGGGAAGCCCAGCTGCGGATGGCTGCAGCAGCTATGGCCCAGGCAGAGCAGGCGCGTGCTGAGTCGCATGCTCATGCAGAAATGATGGCTCGAGGCCCTATAAGGGCGAATGCGCTTGCAGGCTCGCAGGGCTCGATCGGTCACGACATGGGAGAGCAGGAACACAATGTGAACCCTGACGAGATGATGAATGGGTGGGGAAACAACATGCAGCGAGATGACAAGGAGCCGTCGGAGGATTTCTTGAATGACGATGAAGAGAATGACAATGGGGATACAGCGGCCCAAGGAGGCGAGTGGCGTGAAGCTCGGGAATTCGATCTCAATTCAAGATGAACGGGAAGGTCTCCCGCATATGTTTGCAGCTTCGATAGATTTTTCATGTAATCTAATGTCTGGAAGCTTTCTCAGTCTGTAGAACCTATTTTTATCATCTAGAGCACTGGTTGTCGGAACTTGGTTGAATCAAAGTTTACTAAGGGACAGGGATTTGTACTCTGCTTTTGGTGCTTTCTTGTTGAGAATTCACAGCTTCTATAAAGTAGGTAATATAAGGTAGAAGGGGACGTTTACTGTTAGAACTAATCGATATTTGCTTCTATGTTCTAAGTCTTAACAATTCTGCTGACGTATGATAATACAGTCAATGAGCTTGTTTTATTCTCCCCTGTATTTAATAATGAAATATGCAAACAAATAGTGGCTAGGGTCAGGTCAGCATTTGGAGATTCGTATGTGTTTGTTCTGCAGCCTCGCTTCTCTGCTCTGCTCTGCTCTTCCCTTGCTTGCCCGCCTTGCTCTTCTCCTCACGTGGAGGATTTTGGATCGACGATGCAGAAGGGTTTGGAGTCAGTGGACAACAACAGGTACAGGATGATGGTGGACGTGCGAGACTTGGCCGAAGCAATGGTTTTAGTTTAGTGTACGACAAGGGTGAGGGAAGATACATCTGCACTTCACATCTGCTCCCCGCCGGCGATATGGTTGAGTTGCTCACCCCACTTTATCCCCACCTTCATTACCCTAAACAGTAAGCACTTGCCGCCCACTTCATCGTTGTCATTTTCCCTTGCTTGATTCCATCTGAAAAATCCAGATTGCAAATGGAAGATTCAATTCATCTGATAATTCTGCTCACCCGACTTTGGCCGGTCCAGCTTCACGGAGGGATATCCGAACTCCGAAGCTAGAGTTGAGCTCTGAAGAGTTAAAGAGGCTAGGCTGGAGTTACCCACCCATTCTGGAAACTCTTGTTGACTGCATGGAGAGCTACACAAAAGCTGGGATCCTACAAGTAACAAGATCATATGTTGTCCTGTTCTAAAAATTAAGGGCCGAGATATAATTATCCAATCCATTAGAGTTGGGATTCGGTGAGGTTTCGGTTAACCGCAACTTGTGAGATAATATGAACAAACCATAAAGGTATTGTATGTAGTTTGTGGTTAGTCATGGACCTCAAAGTCCAGTTAGTAGTTAGTTGCGATCAACCATATAAAAAAACATATAAATTAGAAATAACTCACGTCGTCAGATTATTTTATATTTCTTTCTCAAGCATTGGGGAAAAATCTCATTATTCCAATCATTTTCTTCTTTCCACGAATTCACCGTCTTCTCTTTTTCGAATCACAAATCTAAGTCGTCCATTATTAGAATTCAAACTTTCGTTCTCTTATCGACGCATCGCCCCTTCGACTATGATGATTGATGACCTAAATAATCATCTCTATTTCTTTGTCATTGTTTCTTCTTCCATCCCTTTCTTGGCTCTTCTAAACCAAACCAGAAACCCGAATCCTTCCTTTCTTATGTTGTTGTTTAGTTCCGAAAATTTTGGCTTTCTTTTTTTATTGAACAACCGATTGGACAAGTTCATACAGGTGAATAAAGTTCGTAGGGCCACAAGCTCATGATGGCACGTTGAATTGTCTATTCTAGACCCCGTATTATTGATCTAAAATGAATACATTTTCCATCATTATGATAATCCTAGGGTTGCGAAAAGACACTTGGCTTAGAGACCATAGGGAAATAAAATCTTGGCCTTAGGGGCTAGGGCCATGTAATTTTTGCGCTATTCTACAACGGATCAGCTCACAACACAAGGAGTTAGGAATGAGGGAACTTATTGGGGAAGGGGGTAAATTGCAAGGTTGGTCACTGAAAGTAATAAAAATTTCACGTTTGGTCACTAAAAGTATTTTATTCTATTCATGGTCACTAAAAGTAGCTCTTCTGTTCAAGTTTGGTCACTCTCCGTTAGTCTCCGTTAAATTTCGCTGATGTGGCAGTCAACTCTGTTAGTTGACCGTTAAAATAGTGACATGGCAATTAAATATAAAAAAATAAAAATTTACAATTTCCACCTCATTTTCATAACTATTAAAAAAATAAAATAAAATAAAAAAACTTAATCCACCATCCCTGCCCTCTTCTTCCTCTTCCTCACTACGAGAAGTAATCTCGCTTTTGCACAAAATCACTGAAAGAGTTGGGTTTCTTTCTTGTCCTGTGAGCAGTTGGAGCGCTGCTCTAAGGACGAAATCTATACTTCACCATCTCTAGTTTAGATCTGCTCGGTCTCTGCTTCTTGGACTTCGCTTCCCTAGCCCGTGTTTCAATTTGATGCTCTGTCTCACCTTTTGGGATGTTGGTTGACAGATCGAGTAGGCGGCAGAACTTGAGGCTTCTTCAAAGAGGCGGATGAGGTCTTGTTTAGCTTGCCAAGCTCTAATGTACTCTCTCGAAATTGGCTCATACACGACAAAAGCTTGGGGATTTTCTTCAGTTGCTGGGTTTGAATAAAGGGTTGAGAGGTTTTGGCTTAGGGAAATTGGAAGGATGGTTTCGGGGAGGTCAGGGTGGGAAATGTTAGCTGGTACAAATGAGGGAGGCAGGGAGGAAATGTGGACGAGGGCGTTAGCTAAAGTGGGGGAGCTAGGGATTTTGTGTGGGGTCTGGGAGTAAGGGTGGGAAGAAACACCGGAATCGGAAAAGGGGGGTTGGGCACCAACTCGAAAAGAGGGGGATCAGAAAAGGAGAGGGTGGAGTTTGATCAAGCTAATCGATGAGTACCTCCTCCACCTCCGCCCTCTCCTTCGGCCTCACCTTCTTCCTCTCTCACGACAATTAGATCCTCAAAAGTCCCGGCAGGTACCTCGCCTTCGTCAACGCCTCGCCGTCGAGTTCGACACCCAGGTTTACCCCCACTTCGGTAAACTCAATCTCCACTGGTTTCTCCTGGGACAAGGGCGGCGACGGAAGTGAGGAAGAGGAGGCGGAGGTGGTGGAGAAAGGATTATTTTTTATAGTTATGAAAATGAGGTGGAATTTTAAAGTTTTTTATATTTTATTTTTAATTGCCACATCACTCATTTAATGGTCAACTATTAGAGTTGACTGCCACATCAGCGAAACTTAACGGAGACTAACGGAGAGTGACCAAACTTGAACAGAAGAGCTACTTTTAATGACCATGAATAGAATAAAATACTTTTAGTGACCAAACGTGAGTTTTTTAGTACTTCCAGTGACCAACCTTGCAATTGGAACACAACAGTGACAATCACAGGTGGCGATGTCAAGCAATGATCATGCAGTTTCTTCTGTTTTTGGATTTCTTGTCTTAGACTTGAATCTTCAAAGTTCAATCTCTAACCCTATTTTCATATTGGGAATGACAATTTGGGATTTTGGAAAGTCAAAGTGAAGGACTTTTGCTACTTTTTCCTTGGTTAGTTCATTCTGGTGTTGAAGGTGTTAGCTAGGTCTGTGTTCCTTTAGTTTGGTTGGCCCTTAATCGAGTGTGGTTGCAGTTAAACCACAAAACGATCCATATGAATCACTTGCGACTATTTGAGCACCCTTTTAATTGGTTTGCAGTCAATTGCAAATCAAATTGTTTTTATGTGATTGTGGTTTAATCTCAAACCCATAACTATATTCCCACCCTACAAATGATCAATTTCAATATTGATTGTTCATGGATTGTGGGTGTGTTTCTTTGTCATGGCATCACATCTATATTGGTTTTTTAAACCTCATTCTATGACTAGTTTAACACCATTTCTATATATTTTTAGTCATTTTGTCTTGAGTTTGCTTTGTGTGCTCAAATGTGCATTTGAGAGACTTTAGGAGTGTTTTGCATAATTTGATGTCTTTTTGGATATTTTCAAACCAAGGTACCATAGAGGATTTTTTGTGTGCATGGACTAGACATAAAAATCAAGAAGCATAAGCCGGAAACCCATTTTGAGAAGCTCAGAATGAATTGACAGTCGAATAGGGTTGTCCTAAATCAAAAAGGGTTGTCCATTTCTCAAAATTGGGAGAAGGATGCATTTCAATTCTTAACGGTCATATAAATGTCTTTTTTACTCCAAGTAAAAAACAATGAGAAAATATTTGAAAATGAGAGGTTTCTCCTATAAAATTATTGGAAAACCTGATTGTCGATCCTATAAATAGACCATCAGGTTCTAAATAGAAAACAATTTTTACAGAGGATTACTATGCTCTCAGAGCAACTCCAGAATTCAGAAATCATCTAGAAGTTTAGGGAAATAAAAGGATGATCCAAACCATCCTTTTCGTAGAAAGACCGTCGAAATCCCACAAGCAAGATTTTCTAGTTCCTAAATTTGTGTGTCTTGTCATTTCTATTTCTAAACCTAGAGGTTCCAAAGATGGTTTATGAGGCTTGAAGAATAATAATATTATATTGCAATTGAGTTTATTTTTCGACAAATCACAAACCCAAGTACCCAATTCTTTTGAATCAAACTTTGTCTCTCTTATTGATGCACCACTCTTACACGACAATGACCTAATCGTCATCTCTATTTCATTGTTACCATTTCTTCTTTTGTTCCTTTCTTTTGAATTGAACTCAGAAATTCAAGTTCTTCATTCCTTTCTTTTGTTGTTTGGTTTTGGAAAACATGTTTTCCCTTTTCGAACGAATATCCGATTGGATATGATTTCACACGAGCGAGCACAACACGCAAGGCCACACAGGCTTACAACACAGATAGTCATGTATGGGGTATTTAACCCTGCCAAGTACCTCACACTTAAGCCACCATTTTTATTATAAACCTCTCAAATAACACTACAAAGCACCTGCATTCATAAGTGGTCTATAACGAATGCCGTGTGTAAGCCTAAGTAATATTACTATTGAGCGAAAGAGTTTCAACAACACCAGGACTGGACAGGTAGCGGGAATGTCCAACCCATCCAATTCATTTGGGAACGCCACCGACGGCCGACGGGCACTTTCATGCATAATGTTATTATCCTATTTTTTTGATCCCTCAAATTTTATAGGTGCGAATGTAACACCCAACATTTGATAAATGGGTTAAAGACACATTTGGTCACTGAGATTACAAAATCGGGACATGTTTAGTCACTAGAAAAATTTAATATCAAATTTGGTCACTACAATTACTAAAACTGGACGCATTTAGTCACTCGCCGTTAGTCTCCGTCCAACTCCGTTAATGAAGTCCGTTAAGTGCTGATGTGGCAAACAGAATTGCCTAATCAGCCGGATATTAACCCAACAAAAATAAAACCCGACCCGCCACGTCATTATAACCCGCCACCTCATTAAACCCAACCCATCACCCAACCCATCACCCAACCCTACCCAACCCAACCCTTCTTCCTCCTTCCTCCCCAACCCAATTTAGGGTTTTCCCCATTAATCTGCCGGCAGCCCTTCCTTCATCTTCTTGAGGAATGTGGCGGAGCCGGCTCGAAGATCGGTGGTGAATTTCCCCCATTAAATATGATGCATTTTCTTCTCAGCGGAATTTCCCCCATTACATAAATTCCAAACATTTTCTGGATTTTGTCAGCTCTTTCCCCTTTCCACTTCCTTCCTTCCTTCCAACGCCAAAAAAAAAAAAAAAAACTCTCTGCCTCTTGCCGCGCCAGGGAAGGAGGAAGAAGAAGAAGCAAGCAAGCAAGCCGATAATAAAGATTCCAAGACTCTGAATAATACTCTGATAGTATAGTATGAACCACAGCTTCCAAAACACTCTTCCTCTGCTTCCCAATCTCCATTCCCTCTTCTTCTTCCCCTCGCCGACCCGCTGAAGGAAAGATTTCCCCTCTCTCTCTCTCTGATTCCACCACCACCTTCGTATGGCCAAGACGGAAGTGTTCGATTCCGATCCCACCCACATGGCCAGAGCAGCGGAATTGAAGAAGGAACTCCAGAAGCTCGTCAACAGCATTGTCGGCAACGAGGATTACCGCACCGAGACCATCGATCAGGCGAATAACACCCTCCGTGCTCTCAAGGACCTCAAGCTGAGGGGCAGGAAGAGATCTCCTCTCTCTATCGAGGTCCCCAACCGCCAGTCGGAGAGCGTGTCGTCACCGCCACATTCCTCAAGAAGATGAAGGAAGGGCGGCCGGCAGATTAATGGGGAAAACCCTAAATTGGGTTGGGGAGGAAGGAGGAAGAAGGGTTGGGTTGGGTAGGGTTGGGTGATGGGTTGAGTTGGGTTGATTTTAATGAGGTGGCGGGTTATAATGACGTGGCGGGTCGGGTTTTATTTTTGTTGGGTTAATATCCGGCTGATTAGGCAATTCTGTTTGCCACATCAGCACTTAACGGACTTCATTAACGGAGTTGGACGGAGACTAACGGCGAGTGACTAAATGCGTCCAGTTTTAGTAATTGTAGTGACCAAATTTGATATTAAATTTTTCTAGTGACTAAACATGTCCCAATTTTGTAATCTCAGTGACCAAATGTGTCTTTAACCCTTTGATAAATTATGAATACCGGTAAATTGTAAAAAAAAAAATTATACCTACCCAGATGATGGGCCGGGCCATGTAGTATATATGTGTAATCGGTCATTCGTACAAAGCCCAGTCCAGCCATATGAAAACAAGTGAAATACAAGATAATGAGCCCATACTCCTCCAAACACCGGTCCGCAGTTCAACCGGACCCGGCCCACTATTTATCACTACTGGTGTTCGAGATATCTGTTGACAACTTGAGATGCAAACAGACGCATTCAAATTTTGAAATCCCACGAAGAAAGAGAATTCTAGACAGAGAGAGAAGGAAGATCGGAGCAGAGCAGAGTAGTGTACCTTAACTTTACAACCGGCGGCAGTGGCAAGGATGATGAAGTCGTACTACAAGCAGAAGAAACCCAACCGGAGCGACGCCGTCGGCAAACCCTCCAAGTCAATCAAGAAGAAATCCCCGGCCGCCTTGATCACTTCTCCCCACGGCGCTCCCCATCTCCAAGGTCTCTATCTCTCTCTCTCTCTCTCAATCTCGTCGCGTTACAATTTTCCCGATCTCGATATGTTCTGATTTTCTATTTCCTTTTTTGTTTGCAGAGGATGTGGAGAAAACCGAGCAGGTGCTGAGGGAATTTGACATGAACATGGCCTACGGACCTTGCATCGGAATGACGAGAATGGCCCGCTGGCAGCGAGCTCAACGCCTGGGCCTCGATCCTCCCGGCGACGTCAAGAATCTCCTGGACTCGGGCAAAACCGAGACGAAGAGCCTCTGGGATGATCGTGTCTAGAAAGAAACCCTAACTTGTCCGTCCTTCCTTTTTGGTACTTCTTAATTCAAATCGTGTTTCTGTGTATTGTCTTTCTGTAACAGAAATCGGCGCAGCCTCTGGCTGCACGATCCAACTCAGAACTCTGTAATCTTCTGCTTAATTTGAGGTATCGAAAAACTCTGATTTGTGCTGAAAGTTCTTTGCTTTGAACATGCTAGCCTTATTTACATAACTCTATAGGAATGTCTGCTATGTGCATAATAAGGATAAGGTTACATCGTGGGAACTAGTTATGTCGAAAATGGCTCTACAAAAGAAGCAAACTTTTGGGAATCCACAATCAATTAACACTCGTTGACATCTTCATTCCTTCTTCTCTGCAAGCTTCTTACCATCTGGGATACAGGAAGCCCAGTAGATAGGTACCATTGTGCATAAGGCCTGTATCAGGAGTCCCCTGGGCAGCCTCGAGAAGTCATCTCCGGTCACACCAACGATCGATACAAGTGCAATGCCGAGATAGCCACTGATGATGAACGAGAGGGCTACAGCGGATGCCACTAATGCCATCAGGGAACCCTCGCATCCGGGAGGGCATAGCTGCGCCATCACGATGTTGAATGGGAGAAGCTTGAAGAAGTAGAGTACCTCCAGGAGACCCGAGAAGACTACAACGTAAAGTGAATCCGGTACGCCCATGTTCCGGTAAACTCCCCTCACGAACAGGACATCGGAGGCCATGAGCAGTGCCATTGTTGTCTGAATTGCGGCGATCAGTTTTCTCGCTGGAATGGACTTCAGACGACGATTGTAAACCACGCTCCAGACGAGCATCGCTGCTTGGCCAAACACCTTGGAGATTCCCAACACGGATGAGTTGATTTTGAGGTGCTGTGTTTGGTAGTAGAACATGGTACCTGTCAGTGCTGGGATGATGGCGTACGAAGCGGCTAACCAAGCGATGGGGCGAGCAATCTCGGGTTTGCGTAGTGCGGCAGAGAGCTGGAGGAGCTGCTTGGTGATCCCGGAATTGGATGCACGCTTTGGGAGGTCGAGGGATCTTTCACGGACCGAAATGGTGATGAGAAATTGGAGGGATGAAACTATAGCGAAGAAGAGGAACATAGATTGAGGAGAGAAGTTGCTCAAGGCTATGCCGCCTAAGAGATTCCCAATGGCTCCACCAGCAGAGGATGCTATCCAAACAAATGACTGCAGCTCGCTGGATGAAGATGATGACAATGACGATGACTTTCCTGCCTCTGCTACAATAGCGTCATTTGCCACTTCTGCTAGAGAAGCTCCGAGGTTGCCGAGGAGGAGATAAAGGGATAAGGTAAGCATGGAGGTGCTTGATGGTGAGAGGAGTGCAATGCCTAGCCATGAAATTGCCTGCAAGAGACCTGCAGAACATGGATCAGCTTACGTTATACGAGATTGAAGTAAAGTAACATCAACAACTGAACACAAAAAGCTGAACCCTCAAAGGAGAGAAATCGCAGCTCAGACAGCCAATGCAAGGATGGAACGAAGTTCCTCCCTTCCCACAGATTGCCTATGGAGAGGTGGACAGGACACGAACCACCACAGAGAACCCCTAAAGAGAAGCAGAAAAAACATCCAGCCAAGGAAACGGCAGCAGAAACCTAGACAGCATGAAACCAACACCACAAAACAGCAGCACCAGCACCCTTATTACCCAGACGACTAGACAAGCGCTCCCTAATCCAGCCGCAACCCTGATCTTTATCAACTTTCCCATGCACCCCAATCCTCTCAATGATAGCCCTGACGATCTTTCTAGTCACAGTCGCTGATGGGAGAAAGGAATGTTCAAAGATGCGCTGGTTTCTCTCTAACCAAACATGCCAGCAGTAAACATGTTCAAGAAGACTAGTTAAGAAAACTAAAACAACTAGGCCAGTCTTCATTTTCTTCAGAAGACTCTGAACACTGCAGACAAACAACATCTCAGGGGAAATCAGAGCACAGTATGCGAAGTAAGCCAACTCGCCATAGCTTTCAATACAATTTCAAGTGCTTTCATCTAGTGCCTTCTTGAGATCACAGAAAATTCCAGTACACGATGAGGACATGGTATTCACATAATATACCATTGCAGTCATTTCTCCAAGTAGATTTCATCAAAGCTTAAAGACACTAATAAGTTGCAGTCTCATTGCTACTGTTCTAGAGTAAGGAGGCATTAGATCAAATGCAGAGCTTGTTTCCAGAACCATCTCTCTAGACAGAATCTTTCTTCCTCAGTTTACTACTATCGAACAAGAACCTGAATAGTTCAAGCATCTATCACCAGTAGTAAGCTTCTCAACTGACAGAAAGCGATTTCACAGGATATAAAAGGAGGCAGAGAACACTATTTCCACACAAAGCGAAAAAAAAACAAAGGAATTTTGTGGGAGAATCGCAGTGGGTATTTAGCCATTTCAACTGGACCACCAAATGAAAGCGAACCCACAAACAACTGAAAATTCAGACGGATTCCTTTGTCTTCCCTTCTGTCTACCCAGACAAAGGACTTTCTGGAAATCTGAGGGAAGCCATCAACGAAAATCAACAGATGGGTCATTATGGCGAATTAACTAGCTAGAGAGCGATCGTGAAGGATGGAGAAAAGGCTATGATTACTGGAAGAGCAAAAATGGATTAAGGAAGGAAAGGAGCTTACTGCCGATGGCGATGTAAGGGATACGGTGCTGGCCGGAGATGTAGACGGCGTCGGAGATAACGCCGTAGAGAGGTTTAGCGACCATGGGGAGATTGGCGGAGTTCTGGAGTAGCTGTAGAGTGGAAGAGTCGACATTGAGTCCATCTTTCAAGAAGAAATTGACAGCCAGCCATGGGAAGCACCTGAATCCTTGAACCCAGTAACCCAAACCCAGCAATTCCCTGATCGATGACGAACCCATGAAGTAACCCAATTCCCAATTATTCCCCGTACGAATATATATCCTCTTCCTCTTCCTCCTTAACCTATTTTCCCTTTGATGATCTTTCTTCTTTTCCTGCTGGATTTTTTTTCTCAAGAAACAGAGCAACGGACTGCAGCCTCTCTTCTTTCTTCGGCTGCTTTTACTACTTCTCCGACGGTTTTTTTTTTTTTTTTTTGGCATAGATATGGACGCTTATAGATATTACATGACACTCGACAACCAGACGCGACAGTCGACAAGTAGTCGAACTGTCGATGAAAGGGCATTAGTAGCCACTAAATGGGCAGCCCTGTTGTACAACCGAGGAGTAAAATTACAATCAAAGAAACTAAACATCGCGCCAGCAGTGCAAATTTCCTCCAAGATCGCACCTCCTGATCCGTGGTTCACCTCCTTGGCTCTTACCCTGCGAATCAACGGCTGACAATCGCCACAAAAATTGACCAAACCAAATCCATGCAACACACACCAGTTAACCGCATCACGAAAAGCTAATAATTCCGAAGTAAAAGGATCCGACACACCTGGGTAGTACCGCCCAAAGGCGAACAGAATCTGACCGTTGTTGTCCAGCCCGACAAAGCCGACACCGCCTCCTGCATCCTTCTTCCAAGCTCCATCGAATCGTACTAGCACACCACCTGCCGGACACACCCCACCTGGAGCCTGCGCCGGTAATGCCTGGCCTGCGCCCAGCCGTGGCCTAGACGTCCCATCACCACCCCTACGAAGAGTCAATGGAGCCGTTGCATGTTCCCACTCGTCAACCTGAGCACGGAATTGACGAAATAGCGCCAGCCCCATGTACTGAATGCGCTTATGAAGAGCCCAACAGCGGGATTTCCATACTCGCCAACACAGAAACACTACGTTAGCAATCTCAGACTTTGAAAGATGACAAGAGAAGAATAAGACCTGCCAGCAGTCTGAAGGAGCCAACCCTTCCAGCCTTCTTCTCAGATCGCCCAACCCAGCCATCATCCACAGCTCTACAGCAACTCTGCAGTGGAGGAAAGAATGTACAATAGTTTCCGCGCCATGGGAACAAATCGGACATATATTATCAACAACCAGCCGCTTCCTTTGCAGTACCGCTCGAACAGGAAGAAAGCCGCGGACCACTCTCCACCAGAAGAACTTCAGTTTAGGAGGAAGAGGAAGACTCCATAGTAGCTTCCAGAACCTGCATTCATAAGGCAACGGAGCAGGAGGGTGAGCAGCCAGCATCTCATTAGTAAGAACGTGATACCCAGTTTTGACCGTGTACTCCCCAGTTGGGGAGTAATGCCAAATTAGCTTATCTTGAGAGGCCTGCAACGTCAGCGGAATAGATAAAATTAAGGCCACCGACTCAGGCACAAAAAGACTTGTCAGCAGGTCTACATTCCATGTTCGAGTGAAAGGGCAAATGAGATCAGACACAAACACAGGACAAGAGTAAATATGCGGCAATAGCAAAGGGATAGAGGGGGGGAGTTGAGGGCAGCCACTTATCTGCTAAGACCTGCACTGTAGTCCCACTTCCAATCCGCCATCGAAGCCCCCGGATTAAGAGATCCCGCCCGGCTAATATACCCTGCCAAGCCCAGGAAGGCCGCGGACCCGGCGTCGCTTCCAAGAAAGAGGTATGTGGGTGGTATCTCGTCCTGTACAGCGTTGCCAACGTCGAGTCCGGATTCAACAGAACCCGCCAAGCCTGTTTAGCCAGGAGGGCAATGTTGAACCGCTCAAAATCCCGGAAGCCAAGTCCACCTGCATACTTACTGAGGCACACCTCCTGCCAAGAGAGCCAGTGGATGCCATCCTCTTTATCCTCCGACGGTTTAGGAAACGGGAAAGAGAGTGGTGGAGTGAGATGGCAGCCGGTAGACGGTATTTTGTGGGGAACTTGGAGGCGGGCGGTAGGGGTGTACATGGGTCGGTTGGTTCGGGTTTAAGTATTTTAATCACCCGACCCATGTATTACGGTTTGGGAATTATCAAACCCAAACCCACCCAAAAAAATTTAAACCCTACGGTTTGTTTCTAATTGGGTTGGGTCGGGTTAGCGATATTTTTAAGTAAAAACCCAACCCAACATAAAATATATAATTATTATACACCATAAAAATATTTTATAACTAATCAATTCAAACAAATAAACCGAGGTGAAAGGTATCAAAATTCACAAATGTTGTTTGAGTTTTAATAAAATGTGATTTACTTCAACATATGTCTAGTTTTTTTCATGATATTTGTTGAAATAGGCTAAAAAGGTTATAAACAAATGCTTCCATAATATGTTATTCTATTAAAATTGTACACAAGAAAAAGGATTACGTGAATCATAATTATATTTAATTTATGTCTAAACTTTAAGTCGAAGAATGCATTAGATTAGGGAGACCATGATAGAAAAACATGGCGAAATATCTTAATTTTCACATAAGTATGGCTATATACGACATAAATATTTTTTAGATACGAACTTATACTAATAGTTGGAACACGGGTTGGGTCGGGTTCTACGGGTTGTGTAATCCAAAATCCAAACCCAACCCAAAAGAGGCGGGTTGTACAAAAGAAAACTCTCACCCAACCTAAAACCTTCATTTTAGCGATAAATACGGGTGGGTTGGGTCGGGTTGGACGGGTGGGTCGGTTTGCGGGTGTGTTTGTTCACCCCTAGCGGGCGGGAGGGAATGACACGTAGAGAGAGGGAGAGGTTTTGTTATTACGTAGGCTGTCCTGGAAAGGGACGAAGAGTAGTGGTTAAGTAAAGGGGAAGTGACGACTACTGGGTGTGACGAGATGAGTTTGATTTTGATGATGCTCGTCGGCAGCTTCCGGATGGAGATGCCGACATAGTTAAGTTGACACAAACCCAAATTTGGATGGATCCATCGTTCTGGATCTAATGGGTGTCTGTTTCTAGTGTTAAAGTCACGACCCCATTGGCTCCTGTATTGTGTTACTGTTAGTAGTGTATACTTTAATTTGGAGGCAAGCATCCTACTACCCATAAAACTCTTTTTAACAGCTCATGACCCATGAGTTCCAAATTTCAGTTGCCTAATTAGTAGGGGTGTGCTACTACCACTGCATCGGATCAAACTAATAATTGGACCAGACCATATATCGAATCGAATATTAATGTGAAAAAATTGAATCGAATTGACCACAATCAGTACCGCCAAATACTAATCCATGATGGCAGTGACGGGCTGTCAAATCGACAATTTACCCACATCACTACCAAATTCAAGACCTTCTAGACAAGAAGCGGAATCAACAATATATTTTGATACAACACAAATGCAACGGGTTGAGAGCGAGGTTGCCAGCCTACATGTTGACTCGATTTGACTCGAACCCTGTGTGAAAAACTAGTTCCACAAACTTGTGGGTCAATCCATATCAAGATTTCCGATTTGGTAATCACATGACATATTTTTCCCTTTGATTTGCGCAATGCGCTTATTTTTTTGTTTATATTAATACAATTGTATATAATTTACAACTGTATAAACAATATAATGACTTTTCTCACATACTCAATCGGGCTAAAACAATAGAACAACCTTTACTTGAGAGAAGCATGCATCGATATACCAACAGGATCAAAAGGTTATACAAGGTCCACAGGTTTCTAATTTGAACATCCCAGAATCCGATCAATGTCGGAATGGAAAAACAGACAGACGCTGGCAAGTCTGACACATTCTCCACGTCCTTGCCAGAAAAAATTCTGGTCGTGATCTTGTTTTACACGATGATAGAGTGTTCTACAGGAAATTCCACTTACACTGCAGGCTATGTTACATCGAACACAAAAACACAACTCCTCTCTAACCATACAGCTTTATTGCACATACCTGCGTTGTTCCATGACATTACCCTCTCGCCCTATGTTCAGGGCATGGCCACAATGAAATACTCCAAATCATCAGTTATTTTAAACCATGAAAAGAAAAAAGGGAAGAAAAAAATCATCAAGCACACCGCTCACTTCTTCAGCAACTGGGAACTGCACTGTGCCATGATCTTCGAAGCCCTGGTAATGGAGTTGGTCATGTAGAAATTCTCCACAGCAGCCTTAAACGGAGTGGAGCTCACCTTCTCCTTAACCTCAGGTTTCAGTGATGGCCCAAACGTCGCAGGCTCTCTCTCGTCCAAGCTCAAGAGGTTCGGCGCCACCATCCTAATTCGTGACCTAACACCCTCAGCTGTATCGTAAGGCAAGGGGGCCCCAGCAACCTCGGACAATGCACGAATGATCTTCCAGTCATCCCTCGCATCACCGACTGTGGGGACTGCTGGCAAAGTCTGCTGCGAGCAACCTTCGGTGTTCTCATAGGTCCCTTCCTTCTCAGAAAATGCTGATGCAGGGAGGATGACATTGGCACGGTACACACTCTTGTCGCCATGGTGGCCCTGATAAACGACAAATGCATCTTTTGGGATGTCATCCAGGTTCACGTCATCAGCACCCATCAGATAGACGAACTTAGCCGACTTGATTCCGTCGGTCGACTGTGGGACCAGCCCGAGATCGAGAGCAGCAGCTTGGGCTGCGTTGAGGAGCAAGACATTGAAGCCATTCCAGTCTGGTCTTATAACATTGAAGTTGGTGGCAATGGTCTCGACTGTGGCGAATATGGCTTCCTTGTCTTCCCTATCGAAGAGACCTGCACCCACAACTATGGCTGGGTTTTTGGCGTTTTTGATTGTGGAGGAGAATGGGTGTCGTCCCTCAGCAATTTCAACTAGGGTTTCTGGCCCTGTCCCAAGATGCTGACAATCGTAGTTGAACTCGCTAGGTTGGCCAATGTAGCCCACTTTGGCATTGTTTGCTCTGACAGTCTTGCGGATTCTGGCATTTACCATGGCAGCTTCTACCCTTGGCTGGCAATTTGTAAGCCCAAAATATTAGTGGAAAAATAATGGCCTATAAGGAGAAGAATAAAGTACCAATACACATATATATCAACCGTACTGATATATGGCACCCAAAAATCTACAATAGCAGAGCCATGAAAATAAGATAACTACATTGCTACAACAGAAAGAAGACAGTTCCGTGAAATTCTTTTCAAGTCAGCAGCATTTATCACAAAACTTACTTTGAAGAACATGCATTCTAGTAGACTGCCATTCATTATTTGGGTAAGAACTCTATGACAGGCTGCTTTGGCATAGTT